CGTAACTCGCGGTTGCTTCTTCTTACGTCAAAATAAAAACATTACTATTTGGTCCACGGCGTTATTACGTATTTTTGCAATCTTGCTAACTCGTTATCGCCGTTAGAAAAATCTCAATAACTGATATAAAATCCTGCAAAGTACAACTTCATTTCATACAATGAGTATATAAATAAAGTTTAGCAGTAAATTAAAAATACATATTTATCACCGCGATTACTCCACCTGTTGATAAAAGAGCCGACTTTTACAACGAATAATATAACAACGAATATATATTTTCCTGTTGTGCAAAGTGATTAATTCGTGACCGATACGGGCATATTTAAAGTGTCTTGCTTTATTAATTTAATTGTTTTCAATTTAACCTGCGGTTGCGTCGACAAAATAAAATTCTCACCACTCTAATTTGCCATGGCAAACCGCGGACATAAAAATAAAAATGTGTGGTAAACTGCCCGGTTATATATTGTTTTGATCCGTATTTTGCGAATTCGGCAAATTTGAGATGTGTAACACTGACTCCGCTCAATCGAAATGCCGCCACTCCGATTAATTTGAGATAAAACCGTTCGAAAAATCCATAAATCTGCCGTAAAATCTCAGAGTCAAATTTATTTCAGCACAATAAAAATTGATTGAATATACTTTCGATTAATTATATTATATATATTCTCACAACCCGGTAAAAGTCGCGTTTCAAACCTTGTATAATGTTAACACAAAAATTTTCGACGGCAATTTAATTAAGGTAATGGATAATCAGTCAAATCCCGCCCTCAATTAGTGACGATATGTTTCTAAACGCGGACCAAACATAATGTGGAAATTTTGCGATTTTCACTGCCTAGAAAAGCGTTTTTTAAACTGTCGCGGGCTTCAATAAAACATATTTTTTTACGGTTTTATTTTCAGTATTCAAAATTGCCACTTTCCAATCAAAAAATTTGCGTTTTCTTTAGAAACTCGCCGCCTATGAACGCATTCTTCGTATTCACAATTCTGTGCGAGTACAAAAATGAAATCATTGTCATCGTTATCGTGGAACAAATTTGTGGAAAATTTGCGTTTTAAAGAAAATAACACAAACGTAAAGGCGTTTACGGCCTAAATAACACGTCCGCTGATAAAGCAATCGCGCGCAAGTTCCTATCGAGAATGTTTTCACTCAACGGGAACGTCTTGAAAGCGGTGTCGAAAATGTGTGACGTCACACAAATATCCGATATTCTTATGAACGCTAATTCCGATATTCGAATAACGAGATATTCGAATACATTCGAATACTTTATTCGAATTGGCCATCCCTGGCAGCAGGGAATATAATGCTAGACTGATATTCATTTGTCTTTGTAGCCTTTTGAGATACTACTACGGAATATTCCCGAAGGAAGTGATAGAATCAATTTGTGGAAGTTTTAAGTCATTCAAAGGTGCCAAAATCGAACAATTGACTTTTAAAACAGTTTAGGCTGACTAAGCACACTATTCAACTATCCTACCAAAATCGCATCAGTCCACTGACTGTCTCAGCTATCCATGTCACTAGTAAATTCAACGACGTTAGGGATGCGACAATGTGTCAAAAGATTTTTCCAGTTATTTTTATGACGAAACAATACCAATATGCTACTTTTGGTTATCATCAATTGTTACTTATGTCAGCAAATGTGACGCGGGTCACATAATGTACGACTTACTACTACTGTTAAGGTCGTATTAAAAAATATAAGATCACTAGCTTGTTGCAGCAATTACTAATTGCAATCGTAATAAGGTCATTGTGAAAGGTTTTCGATTGCATCGATCAAGCAAATTGTTTTTTATTGGCCATTCAGGCAAACGGAAACAATAAAATGGAATCAAAAGAAATTAAAAATATATATATTCATGTTTTTGCCAAGAACCATTCGGTCTACTTGTCAGCGGCTACCTTGCAATAGCTGCGTGAATAAAACTCAAGAACAGCATAGCCCTGAGATGGCGCTGCAAGGCCATGCATAGTTCGACTAGTTTTTCAGGATTAGGGAATTCGCCTCTATATTATTTTGATTTGTATATTACTGTTCCAGCCTATTTAGTTAGACGTTTTCAAAATTGAATTCCAGAAGTTGAGCATAACATACTAAGTCAGAACTGTATGTATATACTTTTAAAGGATGAAACTGTAGATTAATAGATAACTGCTCATACTGGTAGATTAAGGAGAAAAAGACTACTTCATAAATGTAAATATATATAATAAACAAAACAAAAAATAGGATCCATAATCATGCCCATGAGATATTGAAATTATAAAGGTATAAAACTTCTATTCTTTGCGACAATATTCTTCTAATTGGTTAATTGGTCCATGCAACCTAACCATACCGAATATGACACTGAAAGAGGGCAAAATATATCAAACGCAGAACTCGAGTGGGAAAAAGTTAACGAACACTCAGGTTTCCAACAGACCGTGATAATTTCCCTGACAACTCTGTCACATATTCATTCCAATTTAGGTTTCCTTCAATATATATATGACTAGGTATTTATAAAAGTATACTTTTCCAAGAAACTGATTGTAACTCGAATAGCTGTAAATTTGAAAAAATATTATATATATATGTGTGCGGTGGTTCAAATTGCGCTATTTCTGGGCAGCATATCGGTGATAAGCTTGCCAAAATACCTTGGCATAGAAATAGCATATTCGGTCTGTGACCGATATTATCGTTTATAGATTTATTATATATACTATCACAAGTTCTATAAAAAATATATTTGTATAATAGTATACCTGCATTATTTCGTTTACCTATAGGTAATTGTATGGGTAGAAATTAGGTACTGTCTGTTAATTTTGCCCCTCGGCATGAAAAAAGTGACCGACCCCCGCATTAATATGAGATCGGGTGTTTCACGTAATAGTTTTTATAAGACTGTTATTTATTCATTCACCTCTGTTTATTAAGTCGATTATGACTCAAGGCTCGACTTGTGATTCGGGATTACAGCGACTCTACTTGACTTGTGACTCGGCAGTGCAGTGACTTGACCTAACACTCAAAGACACATTGTTGCTTGGCAAACATATTGCATTGGTCGCTGGTTCCCTATCACACATTGACTAACGTTACCAACTGTATTCTATATTATAATCATTTTTACTATGTAGTTGGTCAACAAATGAATGATTAATCGACCAAAAATCGATTTTTGCGACAATCTTGGATCCACATATCAGAAATGGTATTAAAGGAGGTACTTACTTCTAGAGGGATAATTTGTCAATTTTGACGGGTATAATTCAGCTTATCGCTGTCTTAACAATTCCGTAATCCCCGTTAATTCCGCTGGTCTGCGGAGGGGGCTGGATGTGCGGTGTTCGCAACTAGCCAATGAGCGTTGTTACGTCTTAATGTCAGTCGCGCCGTTAGTAGAGGCATGGTGATATATATTAACATAATCTTCGCCTATTGCGAATTTTGCTTCAAATAAAAATATATTTATTTATTATGATATCCGGTCATCAAGTTCTTTTTTGATGTTCTTACTGAAAAAATCTTTCGCCAGAAGTCGAGATTCAAGACAAGTAAACCGCCGTGGTCACAGAGTAGCGGATCTGACTAAAAAAGGGTAGGTATCACTAAAAAGTTAGGGTTACGGGTATCCTAACCCTACCATTTAGTCATCCGCTACTGATACCTACCCTTTTAGTCAATGATACCTACCTTTTTAGTGACTGATATCTGTGATACCTATCTTTTCAGTCGCGTCCCAGAATAGCTAGGTGCTACGACGTGTCCATATACGGCAGGCCTGCACAACATACGGCCCGCGGGCCGCATGCGGCCCGCTAGATACTTCTGTGGGGCCCGCGGTTGATTTGGAAACACGCCACTTCTCGGGTCTAACAATCAAAGCCGGCATTGTTATTTATGCAAGCGAGCCGCTACGCCGATCATATTCGAAATCGGGAGGTTTATGTTTTGCACTAGTTTCTATAAATATCGAACTTTATGTGAAATTGGTGTGCCCTTCGCGACCCTTAAAATTCGTTGCTCGACCTCTCGCCCCAAGTTTGGAAAACCCTGATTTAGATATTTCAGTGTTCAAACTGAATCACGCTTAAAACAATATCGGTACAATCTCACACCCACTAGTGCATATTAGCTACCTATTGATAATTCCACTATATTTTACTAGCAGTTTATGAAACTGTAGTTTCTTTTTCAAATTTAGAACTTAAAAACAATTCCTTCATTTATGAATGGTGCAGAAATTCTCGCACAAAAGATTTTGTTATTTACTGTTAAATTTCAAAAAATTGGAACAGATTTTGTAGAAAAATGTAATTTAACAGTCGAAGAAATATTGAAAATGAAGGGTGGGTTTTCAAGGTAGTTGAACCACTCAATACATATTTGCCATCTCATATGCAAAAATACTGTACCTTGTCTTTACTCAAGAAAATAGATTTTTCATAATTTTAAGCCCCTCCCCCCCAGTAATGAAAGTGTTTTATTAAGTTTAACTGTTTTACAATATTATTTGTAGTTCATTTTGTGAAATATGTATGTGGCAAAGTTTGCGGCCCGCCGAGCCTTCAAATTTATGCTTGCGGCCCTCGTGGTAATTTGAGTTGTGCAGGCCTGATATACTGCCAATTTAATGGCCTTCATATCCAACCAAACCGGATATTATCATTAGCGTCATGCTGGTTATCGCCAGCGAGGTTCAAAATTTTAGGAACAACTTCGTTTTTTTGTACCGAACTGATTCAGGTTTCTTCATTTCAGAAAACAAAGCCTACTTAACTGTACGTCATATTTACTAAAGTATGTCACTATGCAAGTTATATTGACACGCTTTACATAAAGTATCAAGAGTCCTTTCGATGTTGTAGTTACATGCTGCAAATCTAAGTGCTCAAGTCTCCTTGAAACAGTCATGGGCTGTTAATTGGGACAGTTACAACAATAGCAAAAATACCGTGCTTTTTAAACAGCGGCATATCTCTACGTGGCTACAGTTTATTTGTCGTAAAATAGACTTAACAACTAGAACATATATATATTCGTTTGTGTATTACTGGCCAAAAACACAAAGAAGAAGACTTACAGCAGCAGTTTCGTATTATCAATCATGATTTTCAGTCACTGGGTCGCCACATACGATGTAAACAAACTACAAGTCTACAACAAATAACAAATTGAAGAAAATATGATAGCACGCGTAGGTGCATGAAGATGGGGTTAAATATACTCGACACAAACACATTCTTGCGTCTATTAACGAATAATGGGAATGTATAAGTCAAAGTTGCGCGAAGATGGCAGGATAGGAGTGTCAGCATTATAAAGTTAGTTCAATAATCCCAGATGCAGTTAGAAACATTTTCTGTGCACGATCGAAGGACCAGATTCATCATATTCCTGTTTAGAAATCCACATCTGTTGGAATGTAGAGAGCGAAGCAAGGATAGATCCACCAATCCATACTGAGTATTTTCTCTCAGGTGGAGCAATGATCTTGATCTTCATTGTGGAAGGAGCAAGAGCTGAAACCTCTTTCTGCATACGATCCGCGATTCCTGGAAACATCGTAGTGCCGCCAGACAAAACGGTGTTTGCATACAAGTCTTTACGGATATCAACGTCGCATTTCATGATGGAGTTGTATGTGGTCTCGTGAATTCCAGCAGATTCCATTCCCAGAAAAGATGGCTGAAACATTGCCTCTGGACATCTGAACCTTTCATTACCAATCGTAATAACTTGCCCGTCCGGAAGTTCGTAACTCTTTTCCAACGAACTACTGGTGGCTGCAGACTGCATTTCTTGTTCGAAATCTAGTGCGACATAGCAGAGCTTTTCCTTTATATCGCGTACAATCTCGCGCTCGGCTGAAGTTAAACAATTTAATAAATTAATACAATGCAGAAGTCGAAATATAAATAAATTGATAATATAAATTCATATTCCCAAGATTCACCTGTCGTTGTAAACGAATATCCTCGCTCGGTTAATATCTTCATCAGATAATCTGTTAAATCCCTCCCTGCGAGATCCAAGCGGAGGATTGCATGTGGCAAAGCATACCCTTCATAGATTGGCACAGTGTGCGATACACCATCACCAGAGTCCATGACAATACCTAAAAAGAATACACGATTTTACTGAAATGGAAGCAAGAATGTATTACAGGAATTTTGTCAATTCTATCCCTAATAATTGGGATGTGTTAAAGAGTTCCCCATATCTCGAGCCGGTAAATTTAAAAACTTGTGGTATGACCGCGAAGACAATTATATGTCGGTTTGGATTGAATAATTTCACTGTAAGCCAGAAGTCGGCAACCTACGACCCGCGGAGTAACATAATTCGGCCCGCGACGCTTCACTGAATTATAGTAACGAAGCAACTGTTTTGATTATATTTTGCACGTTACACAATTCAGTGAGAGACGCGTGTAGACTAAATTATACTATATACTAATAAGTATAAAATTCACAATTACTCGTTTAATGAGCCTATAATTTAATTATAATTCGACAAATGGCAACAAAACGCGGAAAAGTTGATGCTAAGTACAAAAAGTTCTATTGCGCCGAAGATGCAATGCAATGAGGAAATAAATCTATATTCTATTCGAGAGATGTATCACTGCTTCGTTTATATTATAAAAAGTATCATCCGTTCGGTTTTCAACTTTCTAAAAATATGTGCGGCCCGCCAATGACTTGCAACCCTTATTTTGGCCCTCGAGTGACAAAAGGTTGCCGATCGCTGCCGTAAGCCGTATTGACATCTTTCTAAATTTGGTATATATATATACATAAAATACTAGGCTATTGCCTTTGCCTAATGAATAACATTTGTGCGTTGAAAGGTATTACTAATTTAAATTAAAGCCCTTTCCACTTTTAAAAATCGATCAGGTTTTGCAGGAAGATTCCTAAAATCATCTTTGCTCACCAGTTGTTCTTCCAGATGCATAAAGTGATAAGACGGCTTGAATGGCTACATACATTGCGGGTGCGTTGAAGGTTTCGAACATAATTTGGGTCATCTTTTCACGGTTGGCTTTGGGATTCAATGGAGCTTCGGTAAGAAGGACTGGGTGTTCTTCAGGTGCCACGCGAAGTTCGTTGTAGAAAGTATGATGCCAGATCTTTTCCATGTCATCCCAGTTGGTGACAATTCCGTGTTCGATTGGATATTTGAGTGTAAGGATTCCTCTTTTGCTTTGCGCTTCATCGCCAACGTAACTGTCTTTTTGTCCCATTCCAACCATAACACCCTGACAAAAACAAAGCCACATAACGCAATTAATTAAAAAATAGTTTCGAAAAATAAATTGCCGGTAGCCAGCGTAAATATGCCTATTATGGTGACATCGAGTTGGTGCATTTTTTGTAAATTCCTCGCCGATATAGATATGGTAACCGATGGCGTTCAAGAAACCGTACGCGAGAAACGCTTGAATAATTGAAGACAGTTGAGATCAGTTTTAAAAACTAATTTTTGAAAAACACTCAGAATAAAACGACGGAGCGGACAAATTTTGAAAAATAAAAGTAATATGCCTTAAAGGAGAGTTCCATCTTCAGCTACTGAAAATTCGCAGTATCAACATGGATCACAATTTCGCAAAACGACCCACATGACTGTATTGCGTGCCCATTTTTCTGATGTGAATAATGACATTAAATATAGGCAGGTGATTTGACGCCCCGGTATGCTATTTCAAATACACAGCGATAAAAACGATCTCACAAAACTATTTTTTGGTTAATGATTGAATAATTTCAGTGAAAATCCTATACTGACAAATACGGCTATGTAAAGAAAGCATTTGACTAAGCGAAAAACATTTTTATATGTTTGAATAGTCCAATTTCAATCCTTTTAGGCTTCCATCGTTTTGTACGATGTATCAATCGGCACGATGTCAAAGAAAAACATGATTTATTCATCCAACCATAAATTTTTAAAATATTTGTATCACGTCAATACGTTTAGCGCTAACTAATAAGAAATTATATGTCCTACTAAAGTGCTCTCTGAAAATGGTTTACAACCCATTTAGTCCGCATTTTTATCAGAGGCCAACATGGCAATTACATGCATTGATACCATGATTTACGATTATTTACAACCCCGTAATTGTATGTTTGCATTTAAAGGTCTGGCCGATAAAAAAAATTCCACAATTGAGTTTCCAACAGTAACAGAGCTTGATATAAATAATAATACATACACGATTCCTTCAAATAAATATTTCTTGTCCCTTCCAGTGGTACAATCGTGTTTCCAAGTAAAACGGAAAACAATTCACACAGGAAAGATTGCGCAAGAAATTTAAGTCGACAAATCAGATTGAACGTCGAATAGGCACAATCTGGACAATTTCTGTGTTTATTGTTTCCGTTGTACCCGTTTCGAATCACAAAAATTGATTTATAAGGAGAAAATGTTTAGGGTGACAACTGATTGATAAAAGTGCACCACAAGTTAAACAAAATTTTACTGTCAACTATACTTAATCCGACATTCCACACCAATATTTCAATTAGATGGATATCTGTTTCCATGACCAGACCGTGTCCTTTTATGTCAATTAAAATATAATGTTTTGTTATGAACATGAAATTTTGCAAATTCACGGAATAAAACATTACCGGTCACAAACCTGATGACGTGGCCGTCCGACTATGGAAGGGAAGACTGCTCTTGGGGCGTCATCTCCAGCAAACCCAGCTTTACACATACCGGAACCATTATCAACCACTAGTGCAGCAACTTCATCATCCATTATTGACGAGAATATTCGAACAGTACGTGTTGTATAAATAGACTACCTAAAAATTGAGGATACAGAATTTTTCAGTCAGATTTCATAAGCAATGCCAACTAGCAAACGGTGGTAACACTTCAAAGTGAGGTCTGGAGGTATGAACAACCGTGGAACCCTCTAGAACTGCGCGCCAATTACGAACACAAATCATCAACTTTTACACTGTTCAAAAGAAAATTCAAATTACACCCAACTACAGTTATTTGAAAAAACGAAAACGACAAACGCGTTGTAAGAAAGAATTCTACTGACTGGTAGGAATCACATTCCTGCGAACCGGCAGCTGTGGATTACAAGTGAAGTCTCTGAATATTTATTGATTCAACTAAATTTCTTATAGGCTTGTGTGGCCAACGTTTACCGAATTGGAAATCATAAACCAATTATCCTCTGGTCTTTTTTCAACTTTTTTAGTTTTAGGATGTTGGAGAAAGCATTGTCTTTGAACGTGAATCTTATTGGGTTGCTCGTCTTGAGTCTACTACAAGATGAGGTGAGATCAAATAACATACTTGTGAGCGAAAATACCTGCGTTGCTCAGACATGCTTACAACGGCTTCTCGGGCAGGTCCCGTCAACCGTTTTGCTTGAATGATTACGAAAAGACGCTTGGTTTACTTTCCATAAAAGGAAACGACGACAAATCATCACATACTCTCTCTCCCATCAGATCCGTCATTTGGGCATGGGCGTGAGGCCATTTTAAACCCGCGGGGCATATGACGCTGCAGGCACATTGTCGGATAAAACAAAAACGCAATGTTTGGTAGAAATGAGATAACAAACTGACTTTTAGCATGTTCTTGCTGGCATTATCAACACATATGGAATAAATCCATCAAGGCGTACAAGACAATAAACTTACAAAAGAATTTCCCCAAGATGAAATCACCCTGCTTTCAATACCTGCAACACGTCACTGTGTAAACTATGCGCCGCTCTAGCCGTATATCCTGGTACAACTACGAAAAGTCCGCCTCGCCCGATTGCGCGTCAATATCGTGACACGCCAAATAAGGGCATGTGCCGGCACATGTGATTGAACAACAAAAGGAGGGCGTGAGAGAAAAGCCCTACACAACGCCCAACGACCGAGAAGCAAATTGAGAGAGCGTTTTTCTTTCGTTGACCAATTGTTAATAGTAATGAACAGTAAATTCACCAATGTATTTCACAATGAGATACCAACTTTCGCCCCGAACATGTCACCAAACAACTAAGCCTTGGATTAAGTCCGCATCAAGTCGCAACTTATTGCTCACTAAGTTAGTTGATGTAGCACAGGCCACGCTTTGGGGCCACTGATCCATGGCACAGTGCTGATTATTAAACGGTTGTTATTGCGTGGCTATATATGGTTTCAGTTTACATGTACAGTAAAGTTGTTTATATAAATGCTGGAAGTGTGGGTGACATACATTTCATTTCGTCACATTGGAATGTGTAATTGAACAAAGATTTTACATATGTAAGAAGAACTCAACATCTGGTACATTGTTGTAATTAATATCTTTTCAGTGCGCCATTTTGGGCAATACTACGTTAAACTGCACTTTATTGCATTAACGGCGTACTGTAACATTGAAGATGATAGCATCCGCAGCGATCTTTTTTTTCTTTCTTTTTCGTTTGGAGCTTACATTTTCAATTTCGTAGCACGCCAAATAAGGAAGATAGGCGGTTTTTACAATGTGACGTATTACGATTCGAGGTATATTTATTATCCGGCTTAGATACAAGCTGGTAGTTGCTCATTGACCACCGGACGCGACGTTTGTGTTTCTGACCTTAGTTTGTAGAAGGGGAGGTATCGAAGTAATATGCTTAGACTAAACTAAGGTGAAAGTCTCGTAGATCGCTCTCTTTATAGATAAACCTAAAACTAAACAGGGATCAAGGTCACTTTTTAAAAGCTGCCTCTCAACTAATGCGACTCAACTCGATAAACCTATACAAGTCGTAAATTGGGCGCGGCAAATTTTACTTGTACGAAAAGTCGGCGACTCTCGTTGTTTCTCCGCCGTTATTTCTCTCGCATTGTGCTCGACGTTCCCTAATATGGATAACGATCTCACCGTATATGGGCCGTGACGAGGTGCGACGGAAATAAAAGAAAAAAACAAAACTCCCGAGATACGAAAAAAGGAAATACGAGACGGAAGGTCTACCTGGTACGTCGTGGTCGGGCGTTCCCGCTACTCCATCTGAAAGAGGCAGCCGTTGCATACGGTGGTGTTTTCGGTTGTGTATTTGAAATATTTTCTTTTCATGTACACTTACGTGCGGACGTTCACTAAAAAGGTATATTGTACTTTGTCAAATGAGCATCGCTTTCGGTAACAAGTAACTAGTTTATTAACTCTTCCAAGGTTTTTCTCTTAATATTTCTGTCTTGAGATGAACAAGCATTTGACATTTTTTTTTATAAATTGTTCATTAGAATCAACTTTAATTTAACTAATTCGGTAACTCAACTGTTAATAAATAATCATGGATGATGAAGTTGCTGCTCTCGTTGTAGATAATGGATCAGGAATGTGCAAAGCCGGTTTTGCCGGTGACGACGCCCCAAGGGCCGTTTTCCCATCAATTGTAGGACGACCAAGACATCAGGTAAGCGGGAATTCGAACTTTTATGAAACTGTATGGTTTATTGAAATGCAGCAGATAAGAAACAAACACCCGAAATAACATGTGTCAACTTAAATGATTTATTTTAACAGGGCGTCATGGTTGGAATGGGACAAAAAGACAGCTACGTTGGCGATGAAGCTCAGAGCAAAAGAGGTATCTTGACGTTGAAATACCCAATCGAGCACGGAATCGTGACCAACTGGGATGACATGGAAAAGATTTGGCATCACACCTTCTACAATGAGCTTCGTGTCGCTCCCGAGGAACACCCAGTTCTTCTTACAGAAGCCCCATTGAATCCAAAAGCGAACCGTGAAAAGATGACCCAAATTATGTTCGAAACCTTCAATACTCCAGCAATGTATGTAAATATTCAAGCGGTGTTGTCTCTCTACGCATCTGGAAGAACTACAGGTTCGTGAGGAATTTGATTTTCGAGCGTTATTTGATTAATTTACATGGCCTTTTTAATCAAATCGTTTTGTCATACAGGTATTGTCATGGATTCCGGCGATGGCGTTTCCCACACTGTTCCGATCTATGAAGGTTACGCCCTTCCACATGCTATCTTCCGTTTGGACCTGGCTGGGCGTGATTTAACAGATTACCTCATGAAAATCTTGACTGAGCGTGGGTACTCATTCACAACAACAGGTATGAGTTGGCAATTTTGCATTCATATTATTATAATAGTGTTCAAAATGTGGCCAGAGGGCGTTTGACATAAAAATTTGCTGGGCGTGGTCGATCTATACGCTATACAAATTTGCTGTGATAATGAATGATAAGTGTCTTATTGATAATTTTTAAAATTCGTTAGTTCCAACAAAGCTTTCTTCTTGTTTAGCTGAACGGGAAATCGTACGTGACATCAAAGAAAAACTGTGCTATGTTGGTCTCGACTTCGACAACGAGATGGAAACAGCTGCCAGTTCTAGCTCTCTTGAAAAGAGCTACGAGCTGCCCGATGGACAGGTCATCACCATCGGAAACGAGAGATTCAGATGCCCAGAGGCCATGTTCCAACCATCTTTCTTGGGAATGGAATCTGCTGGAATTCACGAAACCACATACAACTCCATCATGAAATGTGATGTCGATATTCGTAAGGACTTGTACGCAAATACCGTCTTGTCAGGCGGAACCACCATGTACCCTGGTATCGCCGATCGTATGCAGAAAGAAATATCTAGTCTTGCGCCACCAACCATGAAGATCAAGATCATTGCCCCGCCTGAAAGAAAATATTCTGTATGGATCGGAGGATCTATCCTTGCTTCGCTTTCGACCTTCCAGCAGATGTGGATCTCCAAACAAGAATACGATGAATCTGGCCCTTCGATTGTACATAGAAAATGTTTCTAAGTGTTTATTTTTATTTCTATTGCTAGTATCAGTCCCACTTTGACCCTATGCGGATGTCATAAGTACATCTGCGACAAATGTAAATGCGCTGTTATGCAATTCGAATAAACATTAGACGCATTCCTACGGTATCATTCCACCAGATCGATTCTGTGTAACTCTGCTGACACACAACTAAATATATACATTACACATTACGTTTGACTTGTTTTTCGTAGAAACTGTGTTGGGGGGGTGGCATTAAGTTTCCATACATGTGTTCGACAGGTGCCGCCAGTTGTGATGTACGTGGGCCCCTATCGTGGGACGATCTGGTGTGAAGACTTGGTACCGGAACGTGGTAGCAGTTTGAAAAGCCGGTACCGATATTTCGTTACTATGTAATTATTACCTTCAGTGTGTAGGGCGGACAGGTTAAAACAAAATAGTCTTGAGCATTGTTCATAGTGCACATTATTTTAGGTTGAAAAAGATGTTCCAGCTCGGAAACTCGATGTTCAATTAGAAAACTGGTTGTTTACTTGTCCTATCAAACATTGAGTCACGTGCGCGGGATTTTGTATTTCACACATTGGAAAATCCACTAATATTCGATAGATATACTTCTAAATAATCACCATGCTATATTAAAAATGTCGATGTGAAAATTTGGCAGCGAAAATAGCCAAATTAGTAAAGCTAATTTGACTGATACATAGCTAAAAACAGGTCAGAATCCTGTTCCAGTTCATACTCGCGAGGGTGGGGACGAGCATGGCTCCGAATTAACGAGACAAATACCACGAACATAATCCTTTCATGCAAAAATAATTTCAACATTACCGGTGAATTGGCCGATATTACAGATACATCGGTACATCTCTATTAAGACGTTGACACAAATTATTCCAAATACTGCTTCTATTTCGGGCCGTGGTTGGTCCTAATGTAAACGAAAATAAATATAGAAGTTGAAAGCTGGTGCGCATTCGTTGCAACTCCATATTTGGTCACGATTGTAAAATGTTACCCGTCATTTACAGAATGTTTGTCCACATCTCTTGCATAACTTCTGTCAATTATTAATTTCGTTTATCGCCACTGAACAGTTGAGTTGCATAATCGGTATCGCACGCGACAGGTACATAGTTACATACGATTAATTCAAAAAAGTCTTAGGGTAGGTTATGTCGTTGGTGGATATTTTTACATTCGCCTAACACCAGATTACATTTTTATATGATGTTAAAATCATTTTCTGCCATGATGGGATCATGTTTGCGGTATTCGCTTCGTTAACTGTAAGCCACGCCCGTCCCTATCCCCGCGAGTAGAAACGGGAACCTGTTTCTAGCTATTCATCAGACAAATCATAGTCGTATATATTTATGGACAAATTGACTCAACTTATTTGGCTATTTTCACTCCGCAAGTTTTATATCAACATTTTGAATTTCACATGGTAGGCATAATTATGTCAAAAATATTAATCGAATATTGGTGGATTTTCCAATGTGTAAAATATAAAGATGACATCATATTGGCACAAATTCCTATACGCACACAACACAATGCATTAGTTTAATGAACATTTCTTTATTTTACCATCTATGGTAGCCAAACCGCTACGAGTTTACTAATCGAACACCGAGATTACTAGCGTCTGAATCAATTAATGCATCTAATCTAGATCACAAACATCAATTCCTTATGTTCTTAGAAATTATTATTCCCAAGCTGATATTACGTGCACTAGAAACAAGAGAGCGATGCTCGAATATATGAACACGAAGACCAAAGCGGAGCAGTAGTAGGCTACATCCTTTTCAGTACCGTTACCGTAAAAAAAACTTCCGACTTTCGCCTAGCACGAGAAAGATCGAAGAAACGCTACAAATAGTTAGTATCAATTTTCAAGAGGTCATCACACAAAATTTCAACGTGAAAAACAAATCACATAGAGCCCACAGAAAGTTTGAAATAAATAAAATAGCCTTCTAGCGAAAAATACAATCTTTAACCACTGAAAATTTCAGAGCAATTGGCCCAGCCCAGTAAATAATGAGAAAAGCGATTTTCTCATGCGGTAACAACAACAAGAAAATATCATTTTTTGGTAATAGGTATCGACGAAAAAAAAATGGTATCGCTAAATCTCCAGTCTTGATGGGAGCCGATTGTCGATTACGCACACAATTCCTTGTTCTTCTGATCTTGTGAAAGTAGTGGTGAAATATCCTGCAATTAGCTTACCATACGGCAGAGGGATTTTGGATTGGAAGGAATAACTAGTGAACGTCGGTATCGTGCTAAATGGGGTATACCTCTGTACAATGTAATATCCAACCATGCGCGATTATCGTTATTAGATATTGATCCATATAAGTGATTGATTTGTTGGGGTTCACGCTGTTGTTGGAATATGGTAAAGAATATGTGGCCAAGAAAAATTTGCCCGAGATGAGCTGTAGCCAGGGCCGGCAACCTTTTGTCGCTCGCGGGCCAAAATTGAGGGTTGCAAGTCATTGGCGGGCCGCACAAATTTTAAGGTTTAAAACCGAACAGATGATATTTTTATAATGAAAATCAAGTAGTGATACATCTCTCGAATGAAATATAGATTTATTTCCCCATTGCATTGCATCTCAAAAAATTCCAATTGAATATTTTCGGCGCCATTGAATCCTTTGCACTCAGCATCAACTTTTCTGCGTTTTGTTGCCATTTGTACAATTATATTTAAATTATAGACTCATTAAACGAGTAATTGTGAATTATATACTTGTTAGGTTCTAATATCATTTAGTCTACACGTGCGTCTCAGCACAATGAATTCTGTTACGTAAAGAATATGATCGTCAAAACAGCTGTTTTGTAAATTGCGGGAAATACGAAATTTTTGTTTCACTCTTACAAGCAAGATACGTACAAGGGGAGCATGGTATTGATAAATTAAATCTTCCTGTTTTTCAAATTAACGGTTCTACGATGAAAGAGATCCGAAGTAGTAAAAATATTATAATTCTTATATCCTTTGTTGCGTAGGTAAAAAATTATAGGTGCATATCTATATTATCATATATTTTCGAAATTCATTACAGTAAAAGGCCATTATGGCGGTAAAAGCTGTTCAATTATTTTGAATAAGCTTATTTTGTTTTCAAAATTGGAGGGGGAGTTTTTTTTCGAATTCAGCTATTCGTCTTATTTAATTTTTTAAATTTCAAACGGTAAATATAACGCAGGCAAGTTTTCACAGCAAGCTGATGCCATTTTCGCTAATTACCAGTTAAATTACTGGTAATACTTCATATACTTGAATCGAAATTGTGAGACGAAGACTTGGCAAGCATGGTATTAGCGATAATTAAACATCCATCATAAAACATGATTTCATATTTATTCTTCAGGGATCGAATAAAGCGGGGGTTTTTATATAACGAATAAAATGCTGATCTTTCACATCTTTACTACGAAGAAGGTTCCGTGTAAGAATCCCATCATCGCCATCAAAAACACTCATCGACGGAGTAATTGGTCCTGCCTTTCCTCGACGAAAAACATTAACATTATTGAATGCGATGACGTTATTCCTTTGGGAATCACAAAAACTGTGTCACTCTACTGCACTAAATGAGTCATCCGATTTGTAAACACTGGTTGTTTACAAAATAATAAGAACAGTTTTACTCGATATCCCGTTGAGACAGAAGACATTCAAAATGATTTCTTTGCTATTTCAAACTTTTTACTTCATTTATAATATATTGCACTATACATTTTATAAGAAGCACACGGCCAAACAAAAATTAATGAAAAGATTGAGCATGGTGAACGGATGATAACAATCAGAGGTAACAAATTGCACTAACCTATTTGCAATTGTTTATAATACGAAAACGAAACCTGCCATCAAAATATTTACCAAGTTTTTGTGGGTTATATCTCAGAAGGCTTAGTCACATAGACTTCTAATTGCTCATAGTTATCACTTCTCGGTTAATATGAAACAAAGTAACAATGCCCATCTGACAAACTGACCTAGTTAGCTCAGTGCTGAAGCTTTGATCTGATTGGTGGTTCAAAATCAACAAAACTTCCACACATACCTCGAATACATGGAAGCACAAGATGGATAAAAATAAAATAGAGAAAAAGTTGGAACATAAAATAAAAGTTATATGTGATACCACATTTGCAATTAATGCAGTTGAAATTGTCAAGCAAGACTGTTTCAATAGGGGGAACGTGGTCCACAAGGAGAGTCCTGGCACCTTATTTGAATGTAATTAACTGTTACATTTAATGGTAAATATATATTTTTTTTATATATATAACATAGCAGCCAACATATACCTAATTAAATTTATCAAAGAGATATTTGGGTTTGGTGATATCGTATTTTGCTTGCCATCTAACACCAGCTAAACACTGAAGAACGGTTATGGGGATATTATTTTAGAGCAAGAAATATACTATATAGAGTTAGAAAATTGCAGAAATATTATGAAATTTCTAAGCACGCACAAAAATATCTGATTTAGATTATATTATTCTCAAATATTGTAGGATGGATTTTTGTCAGATCATTAATTGCCTACACAATGGCACCAGATATATCATAGTCATTAGTACAATTATTAGAAATGATCAGGTAAAGTTGATATATAAACCATGCAAACCACTTGAGATGCAGATAATCAAATATCACAACATTTTCTACCTATTTAAATGTAAATTGGATTGCAAGTGAAGTGAAATAGGCAAATATTCTATGTTGCATTTATCCCATATAGACTTTATTACTTCTTATTACTTGTTATGTATGTATGTATATCTCTAACTTCAGACATTCAAATTTAAGCTACTACCTTATGACGAATTTATAAAAAAAAATCAATCCTATGTACCAGCACTAAATTTGCGAATAATAATTTTAACACTGGAATTTACAACATTACATATAACTAAAATCTAGATAGATTTTGAACTCTAAATCATTGCGGGCAGTTATATAAATACCTACGGTATCTTCTGTTACAATATCCTGTTATTAAAAAATCTAACTTCACTACATGAGTTTGAGAAGCATACAAATATAACACAGTTGAGAAAACATAAGACACGGATTAACTTTGACGAAATCGATAGCACACTATTTCTCACCAAAAAACTATAAAAATCATTTGATGAATATTTTCATGAACAAGCACTAGTAAATTAGGTTTGGAAACAAGCCAGTCCTGCAAGTTCTTTTTATCAAAGAGATTTATTTCATTGTGTATACTATTAGATATTGAGCGATAGAGTAGATAGTAGAAACAGAGATTGATATTTGCTTATTTCACAAGTATTCAATTTATATAAAAAAAAATGATGCACTCTGAATGATAATTAGCTGACAAAAATGATTATCCACCATTGTTATGAGCCGGAGAACTACACAGTGGGCACTTGTAAACGTGGTAAAATAGGAGTAACCTGATTTAACCATAAATTAGCACAGGGTGCATGATACAGTTTTCCACCACATTCCAAACCAACTGGCCACTCACCACTAGTACTTAATAGGCATAACCCACACGCAGATGATCCATCTGCACTGTTTACATCAATTGAGTTTTTCCCTGAAGGTGTGCAGCAATGCTCAGGTGTTTTATGTACAGATGGAGTGTATGGGCAAAACCCTAAAAGATTATTCCATGATATTTCAATATCTTTTAATGTCATTTCAAGATCCTCATTTTCAAGTCCAACACTTTCCATTCCTTTCCGAATTCGTCTAGCAACGCCATATACCTCACTCGTGCATGAAATAAAATCTTTACCCCGAGTGGAATTCACGATTTCATGGCACACAAGAGGGCTGTTAAGAGCAGCAAAAATGTTACTGGTGGAAGCAATAATGTCTTTGCATATGACCAAGCATCTTCCCCAATGATCTGCATATATTTCCATTGGTTTTAAACTAACTGAACTTTCATCAATGGCTCTCAGTTCTTCATATCCTCTATCCCACTTTGGCTCTTCTATAGACTGGTGAACTTCAACAGTACCTTCATTTATTTCTACTGATAGCTCTGGTCGGGTTATACAACCTGATATATTATTCACATCAGTTGAGTTCATATTCTCTTTTTTTACTGTGTCGTTGTTGGACTCAGCAATCGATTGAATGCTTGTATCATCTACTTTATATTCACTAAAATCGCTAATAGATTCACTCCAAACCCCTTCACTCACAATATTTTTTGTATCGTCATTTGAAGCACCATCAACTGTGGTATTTGAAGCTGTAAATTTTTCTGTGCTTGATTGGCCGACAAGAATTTCACTGAAAGCTGTGCCATCATGTTTTCCCTTTATTTCTCTGTCCTTAGTCTTCTTTGTTTCTTGAGCACTCTCGAAGTCGTCAAAAGCATCAAAGTCAACCAAGGAAGAGTTTCCATTGTGGTACATGTCAGACTCTCCAATATCAAGGTCGTCAATTGGAGGTGGCCCCGAAGAAAACTCGCCAAAGTCATCACTATCAGCTTCTGAAATACGTTTTGGAATAACGAAACGTTGAGGTTTAGGTGGTGACATTGGTATTGGCTTAATATCATTCCTGTTTCTTCTCTCAGACAAAGGTGAAATGGGTTCATCAAGACTATACAAACCATCATCTGTGGCTGCTGGTTCGCAAGGGGTCATTATGGGGGGAGTTTGAGTAAAGTTCGAAAAATTCTCAAATAAATTTTGTTCATTTTCAAATTGATTTTGTTCCTTAACTGGTGTGGATGGCTTTTCCTTCACTTCTGGTTCGTTAGCAATTGGGAATAATGTTGATCCTGTTGCTACTGGCTCTGGGCCTATCAAATCAAAATTTGTATCTGATTCCTCAGACGTTTTTGCATCAGAAAATGATATGGATGTCAAATCACGAAGTGCGGAATATTTGTCACCAGCAGAATTATTCTTTTGGCTATCACCAACAGAGGTCTTAGAAGGGAATGGTATGGTAAATTTAGAGTTGTCTAGAAGTGTTTCAGATCGCAAAGATCCAGTAGACTTACTAGTACTATCTTCCAGGGGCTTTACAACAGTGTCACCAAAAAGTGATAGCGATTTAATTTTGCCAGAATTTTCAGCCACATTCCCAGTCGGAATAATAGGAGGAACCACACTAAAATTTTCGAAAATAGGTTTTGAGTTTGTTGTATTCAAAATTTTGGTATTTTTTGGAGGAGTGGGCAAAGTTGCAAATAAACTGCTTGAACTAAGATTCGGTTCATTCACCTCTGCATTGTTTTGACCGGTAAACGTTCCTGAAAGTTTATTAGAATCATCAAGAGTCATCATAGAGTTTGTATTTGTAATGCTTGGGGTGAAAGATTGAAAATCTTGGAAGCTTTCATCTGTTAAGTCTGATGATTTAATCCCCCAAGAGGATGATGAATGATTTTTAGATACCGGAACATGGGGAACAGATTGGAAATCGGCGAAATCGTCATCAGCAATGTTATTACTGGCAATTGGTGTATTCGGAGCAATAGTTGGCGCAACAAATGCTCTAACATCCTTTTGCATGCACTGAAGTGCTGGTATAGGTGCTGACTTCAGTTTCTTCACAAAATCAACCGAAAGATTCATTTCACCTATTTGTGCGAGCCCTATGAGAGCCAGTGCTATATATACTTCAGAAAAAGTAAGTTGACCGGGGGTGGTCTTGTTAGCAGCAGACCATATATGACCAAGAACATCTTGTGGTAGTTGTGAACTGACAAAAATTGGATACAGTTTGGCTGTATCAGCATAGTTGTTTGGCAATGCACATAACTTGATTACTTCCTTGTAAACAATCGGAATTTCGTGTGGATTCGTCATCCAAGACGGCAACTGATCAAAGTATGAGTTTGCTTTTACACCTGGAGTGTTACCAGTATCAACCTGTTGGTTGGTCAATCTAGTTTCATTTGATGGCTCCATACAGCCTGGCATATTATAATATGATGAATGGGAATTAGTATTGGGTTGATGTTTAAAATGTTCGAATGAGGAATCGAAGTTTCCATGTGTAAAACCAGGACTTGACTGTACCATTGGCCGCCATTGCTGCTGAGCATTATGTGGCATTTTATTTTGATAGTGAGCATTATGTGGCATTTGATTTTGATAGTGAGCATTATGTGGCATTTGATTTTGACTAGCATGTCCTGTTAATGGGTTCATGGCCATCAAATAGTTTGGTTGTTGCTGGAAATTAGTTACACCTTGTTGCATTGTTAATGGTCCCGTATTGTATTGGTGTACTGGAGTAATGAAATCATCTGTTTTCAAAGCCAGGCTGTTCCAATCTGCTGAAGTTGAACTTGGTTTATATACTGTGTGTTGTGGCCTTTTCCCAGTGCGACGTGCAGGCTCTTGAAACTTGAAGGAAGCTTTTTGAGTTGATCCCGAAATGTTGAATGACTCCATTATTTTTGCATCCAGATCTTTAGCACTTCCATTTTGCCTAGCTCTGTTGCCAATCGATGCCATTGTATCTCAAAATATACTGATATAGGTTCACTGTGTTAATTCAAGGCTAATAGGACTACATTACTCAAATCTAAAAAGAATATAAACGAGTAAAAATACCATTGGTTTAGTTAAAATGCTTTAGCTTATATAGGAGCAATGTAAAAATATTCATGGTTACTAATTTCGTTTTAATCGCCTATTTTAAAGATTATGGTAGCGTAAGCCTTGAAATCTATTTACCACCAGAGAGACTATACGGTAAGTATAACTCAAAATTCTGTTATGATATTGAGTGGCTGTTTTAATAGCATAAAAAAATATGGCTTTATAAATTCGGAATTTACAATATTAATTAATATGTTGCATTGAAATATTGAAAATTAACTAGCACAGTCGGACATTAGAATGTCAGCAATACCGGTAACCCTCAATATTGTCATTACCTTATTCAATCAATATTCAGAATACTGGGTTAACGCAAGACCGAAGTCAACGTGACTCATTACATCCATTTCAATGTTGCTTATGAAACGAAATCTACTGTTACCGGTACCATAGACTTGGAAGCTGAAATTTAATATTTTCTGGGATCTGAACCGACTGATGCTGAATTTTTAGAGACTTGCATTATTCAATTTTCTTTCATACAATCTTTTAGTATTGTTTTAGGTTACCGTATATTGACGTTAGTGTTGACATTGATTGTGAAACAAAATCAGAGCAATTGTACATACATACATCTCGCTCTCCCCCTCTCATTAATTCTCTATCTCTATCTTCCCATCTTAGATACCGTATGAACAATCACATCCGAAAATCGAAATAAGACTTTTGTCGCAGCGCCATCTCGCGTGAATCAATTTGCATTGGGATTTGGGAATAGGGTTTTGCTCTGTTCAATGACTTTAAACAACACAATTGCTCTGTTTTATCAATATGCACGCGGAAAATATGTTATCAACTTCCTAATCAGTGTATACTGTGTTATAAAATGACCAATATTCTCTATATTAAGCCAAATCTTTATAGTGCTATGCCAACCAAATAGCTCTTTTCTATCATAAATTATCCCTGATGAATTATGCCAAAACAAAATATATTTTGTTCTACAATAAAATAAAAAAACATGTTATTACCAACTTTAGAGTAAGCTTTGGCAGTAATACAATTTAACAAACTAAAACCATTAAATATTTGGGAGTTCAATTGATGACGAATAGTTGGAAACCACATATTTCAAACTCTTCGAAATTAACTTCGATTAATGCAATTTTGAACTCTAAAAGTCTAAATCACCTAAACTAGTACAATAACTTTGTTTTCACTCGCGTCTACAATATGGCCTACTTAGCTGGGACTCAGCAGCAAAGTCTTCCTTACAGCCAACTCAAGTTTTTCAAAATAAAGTTTTAAGATGCATGGCATTTGCAGAGAAAAGTCGCGTAACTTATTTGCAGATTTACCACCAGTATGTATTCCCACAGTCGTGGGATATGTATATACCAGAAATTCCGAAGTTTATACATCGGTATGATAATGGCCTTGTTCCCCTAGTCTTTGAGTAATATTTCATTAAGTACCTAAGTACATTTTCAATAAGAAACTGGAAATTTTTTTTTTACGTAAATACTCATATATATTTGTCTACTTAATATCTTATATATGTTAATAGGTCTTTATAGTAAATGAACACTGTATTATTTACTGTAAATTTAACTGCTTCATAATAAAACTGTATAAAAAAGGTCAAAAACATCTGTTCGTTTATTATTTATATATGTATATGTATACATTGTGTGTTTTATGGTTTGACAATTTTGTATTTTCTGTTTATCGAATTTAAGCAGACGGGGTTTAGTTTTGATGTCGCGATGTATTTATGCTCCGTCTCACGCCATTCAACTCTAGTTTATGCAATCCGTAATCCACACAACCGCGTGTTAGCATCCAGCCTTCAATATATAAGCCATTCATTAATATATCTATAACATTTGTAAATATATTTATTTACTAAATTAATAAGCACACATATTCCACAACGCCTAATTACAAAAAAATCAAGCATCCATTTTTGTCGGGCAAGTTTATTGATCAATTTTTAAATTTCTCTTTTTTTGAAGATGTGTTATTCTGTATGTTTTTTTTTCAATTAGCAATGAATGAGTTAAGTATGGTTATTACATGCCGCTTATTTCAAAGTTGTGCGAGACATTTTCTTGAATATTAAGACGCGATAACAATTATCTCATCTTGAAGAGCCTCCTAAAATTCATTTGCCTTGAACAGATATTAACCAATAATTAAAATTATTAAATATGAAATATGGAAAATATTTCATACTTCTAGAAATAAAAAAGTGTTCTGTTAAAACATTTAGTCACATCTAAATATCACAATACTTTGTACCTTCACTCAAATAATAAATGCCTCAAGCAAATGCCCCGCGGCGCTAGTGATAGAATCAACTAAAACTTGTGATTCCGCTATATCATCCTTGCGTTTGATATCCCTCGGGCCTTACAATAAAATATTTGATGTGAGTGAATCAGTCCTGGAATTTTAGCTAAACAGCTCGATTAGGCCACATTAGATAAGAAGATATGTCAGATGTTTAAGGAAAACATAGGCATACGCTAACAGCACTCACTTTGACCAAGGGAATATTATATCGTTACCAGTTAGAATACAGTTGAAGCTGGCCTGGAAAAAAATACGTAAATTAGAATATTAAATGTAATTCAGTATAACCATATGTGTATTAAATCACCAGTTTGACAGCTACTAAATGAAGAATCACATTTATCCGTTTTTATGTACTGGATTTAATAAAATGGTATTCATATCTTGCACCAATTATTATGTTCAGGTATATATATATATATCTATAATAATTTTATTTACGACTATAATCCGATATGACAGTCACACCACGAAACAAAGGAAGCAAACTTGTATTTATTCTAGTTTGGATTGGGTGCGTAACTTGTAAATTATATGAAGTACAGAATTCGTGGGACACCGGTTTTCAAGTAAGTTAACTTTTTATTTCATGTGTCCGTTTTTATATGTATATATATATGAGCTGAGGGGCCATGACACCCCCCTATTGTTGAACGATTTACTGAAAACCGGACGTTTCGTGGCTTGCTATCAATAATCCTTTCATCAAATGAATCAAACGAGATAGATGAAAATGCGCTCTTGGGTATTGTCAGATATCAGTGCCCCTCTTAAATTTTGGGCTGGCTACGCTCCCGATTCAATCCTACCCCGTTTTATCTTATTTCAGTCAGAAAAGGATAAAGCCGATTATGTGTCTTACCACAAACTTGTTGGTTCTCGTAATAGGATTTCGCGAAAATGTTTCAAACCCCGAAAAGCTGTGCAGGAAAGGTTGCAGACTATTGTTCAACTTTATATATTGACAGTAATATAATGTAATCAATAATCAACCAACAATGGCCATCAGTCATCCGTTGTTTGGTTAAACTTTTTATTGATACTTTTACTTTTTTCAGGGAGAAATCAATATACCTATTAAAAAAGATACAGAATTTGGCTGGAAGCTTGAAATTAAATTTCATAAGCCAATAGAATCGTTTGAGGTAAGTAGGCGAGTATCTTCAAAAGTTGCTGTGCAAGCACATGACCCAAACTAAATTAAATTTTGAAGCACAGCTAATTGTGAATGTTACAACCATGCGACAGATATTGTTAGTGTTCGCCATAAAGGCAAATGTGACGTAAAATCCATAGCTTGAATACCCATAAAGATAAACTGAAAAGGCTGTAAAATGAGAAACATACGATGACCTATGTGTAAAAAGGCATAACAACATGAGACATCACGACAAAACATTTTAACGAAAATCTATGTGTGTAAAATGAAAACCAATATATATATATATATATATATAATTAAGTTATCAAAAGGAGACGTAGGCTGTATAATAAACAACGCACAACTTGCGGAAAATGTTTTCAAAGAATATTTAAACTGTTTTGTCAAAACGTGCTAAAACACATTCAAATATATTCTACTGTGTTTTATTCTTAATCCCTTTTTCAATTAATTTCTTCAGTGTTGGGTTGGGAAACTAAAATCTTCAGAGCAAGGAGAATTCGGGAGCAAATACGTCTACACCAATTTCAATTACAACAAAATTTTGGAGTCCGGGGCGGAATTGAAAGTAAGTAAGACACATTAAACAATCAATATATATACTGAAAATGTTTTCTGCAATCATATATAATTGCTTCGATGTCTGAATTTTTACTTTCAGCACCAAAATTATAATCTACGGTGACCTTAAAATCCAATCCTTCTAATTTAGGTAGAGTTCAATGGAAGGTTCATTGGAAAATCGGGACCAAAAGTTCCTCCCGTAACTATTAAGTTCCAGAACAAAGTTATCTATTCAGATTATTATGATATGGCTAATGATCCAGTAACTGTTTCTACTACCGATATTGTGTTTGTGCTAAACAGGTGAAGAACGCAGTTTATTACTTATAACTTTGTAATCTAATCCTATTGAGATAGACATGTATGGTCTTGATTTTAAAAAATGTTATAGTTGGTTCGATGTTATGTCAATGACAAAATTGGAATCTATTCAATACATGGTTTTCTATAACAGAGTAAATTATTCATTTTTTTCACACTTGAATTTCTGTTTGTGTATGGTTGTACCCAGTGGTAGGATTTAAATTTTTTGTCAGCCGGTTCCATCACAAATTTCAATTTTTCGGCCGGTTCTGTTACATGTTTTTTTAGTAATGCTAATCGGTACGCTGATCTCATAAAATTCTGTGATACGGTTCTATGTAAACCGGTGCGAGCCGGCAGGATCCCACCACTGGTTGTACCCCAACGTTCCCTCCAGAATAATTTGCAAATGACTTCCTGGGCACAAGATACAAAACAGGATGCAAGTCCCTCCCCAATGCTGACGAGGTCATTTGGAACATATTTTAGGAGAAAAAAACAACTTTTGTACAAAGCGGCTCAAATTTCTGAAATTTTTGGATAAACACAAACAGAAGTTCAATACGTAAGCTACGATACGTAAGACTATATTTTTAAGTAACGCAATATTCCCAGTTAGGCATTGTCTTTCAAGTTTATTACGCCCTAGTTGAAATGGCGGAGGTAGGATTTAAACTTGAGATGTGTAACCTACGATGAAACGATTTTCACAGTTCCTTCCCATGTATTCCAGTTTAACTAAGGCAACCGCATCAACTGTACCTCAGAACAACAATCGACAAACTAATAATGAACAGTCACCACCTATTATAAATGAGGTTGATGTGGAAGATTCAAGAAACCCGAATATTAACGAAATTAATAACCGAAATAATCAGCGTGTACAAAATATGAACAACGACGCGAACGAACAAACAAGAGACAAAACAAATGAGGGCGAATCGAATACGTCAAGCGAAAACACAAATTTTGAAGATTACGACGACGATATGGGCAGTGGGGAAGAATTTTTAGGCGCTACTATTCCCCCAGGCCGTCGACCTGCTCGGCGCACCAAGTACCCATATATTAGAGCAATTCAAAAATCGTTGCTCTTTTACGAAGCGCAAAGATCAGGCCCCTTACCGGAAGATAACAGGATAGAATGGAGAGGAGATTCTGCTCTGAGAGATAGAGGACAAGATGGCGAGGATTTGACAGGTACAAATGTTATTTACTAAATGTTTGCGCATCGCGTTATGAGAATTGTAAATGGCATACGGCATTACTTAAAAACCAATTTAACTAAGTCAAGCTATGCTAGATAACTTATCTGCCTGTCTCTGTACAATGCTGGTTGTTTATTTTTATTTGCTCAACATTTCTAACGAATGAAAAAGGCAATACATTCTTTTTATACTTTTGTATTTGTGCACGTACAATTTCTGATGACATATATATATTATTAACAATCAATTCTTTATTGTCCTATTTTGTAAGACGCAAAGGTATTATCCCTTTGCAATGGACTAAATACAAGTGTTAAAGCAGTTGTACAATCTTCTACTATCGTTGTTCTAACTTCAGCTCTCTTGTTGCAGGAGGATATTATGATGCTGGAGATCATGTGAAGTTTGGATACCCAATGGCGTTCTCGATCACAACATTAGCCTGGGGAGTTATAGAATATTGGGAAGCATATCAGTGAGTTTAATTAATCTTCCATATTATTTTATCTGTGATTTATAAATAATACTGGATAATCCTTCAAAATTTCAATAATAAACCAAACTAACTAAAACAAGGGCGTGCAACCTGCGCCCACAAGAAAAAAATGTGCGGCCCGCGAAGTTTAATTTAGTTTAATCTTAACAGCTCTAACAGCTACCTTGTGTAAGGCAAACAATGCATGACATTTTTGTGTCTGCAATCACTAGAAAGTCTATGTTATATAAAGGTGCGGCCCGCGGTTTCACCCAGATATTTGTGTCTGGCCCTTCTGTATTAAAGGTTGCATACCCCTGAACTAAGATACAAGAATTGAATCGCATTGCAATCGTTTAATTATTCTACGAAAATATGCCAAATACAACACTATTCGAGTAAAATTTTTCTATTGTGTTGAGAGGTATATTATGTTGAATTATCAAGACGATAGCGTTATTTTGAATAAACTAATAAATAATGCTCATTTTGCAGGCAAGCAGGAGAACTTGAAAATGCATTGAAAGCATTAAAGTGGGGAACTGATTACATTTTGAAGGCATATGTGGGACGCTACGAATTTTATGGGCAGGTAATACCTAAAAAATGGCAATAATAAAGGAATTCATTTAATTTGGAACATTCTTGAAACAAAACGTTGTTTAGTAGTTTAGTTTGAAAGACAAACCTATATTCTTGTGATAGGTATATATTTATTATGATGATATGTCAGTTACGTCTATGCATTTTTGCAATTTATTCAACGAGTACTTACTGATCATTTTCAAATTAGGTAGGACATGGTGAAAAAGATCATAAATATTGGGGAAGGCCAGAAGATATGCATATGGAACGACCAGCTTTTAAAATCACAGCAGCAAAACCAGGATCTGATTTAGCTGCCGAATCAAGCGCTGCTTTGTCATCTTCGTCCATTGCATTTCAACGATACGCTAATCGTGAGTAATGAAATTCCAAAACGTGTCGATATAAAATTAGATTTTCTATAAAATTAGATTTTCTATAGCCCAAAGCACCAATTTTTATTTTCGATGATTAACCGACTGATAACTTCCGAACCTTGAGCTACAGTTTGTTATCAGCTTAAGGCGGAGATACAAAATGTCACCTCCAACAATGTTTTGGAAAGCTCTTTGCGCCTGCCTGGCGTGAATAGCGGGATTTTGTTAATAATTTGATATAGTAAAACTCATTCTATGGTAATCTAATCTTTTTCACGTTGAGTATTTCACTGTCTGGGTTTCGTGCATTGCTATAAATATATATATTGTGTTTTGTGGATCAGACCCATGTTTGATCAATTCAAAAAAGTACTCTGACAATAATCTCAACTTTACACGTTTGGCACATAGCTACAACTGTAGCACCATTTATATTACAGTTACATTTTAATATATTTAAGGACCATTCGCACTTCCTGGATATCTTAAGAAGTTGCGGAATTCGGCAGAAGGACTTTACCTGTTTGCGACTAAATTTCAAGGCAAATATCAAAAATCTATCAAAGATGCCGAGACATATTATCCTTCTACAAATTATCTTGACGAGATAGTTTGGTCTGCAGCATGGTTGTATCGTGCGACTGGAAAAACCAAGTATCTACTGGAGGTATTTGCTAAGATATTTTATAACGATAATACCACAGAGATTCACATTCGGAATTTCAGTAAATTTTGTACGAAACTTTAGGGTTCAAGTGTTGGCATTAAATCTACTTTCCTTTTAAACTCTCTCACGTTGATTCTGTTTGAATGAAGGTTTACTATACGACTTTATCATCTTCGTTCTAAACAGTCCTCTTTTTTACAAGCCGCTATTTAAGCTAAACAGAAATAATAACCGAGTTCATACGCTTCTTGGTCTGTAATTTGCGATTTTTATTCCGTTTCCAAGTGACTGTTTTGAATTTGCTTTGGCAGAAAATATGCATAAAATATATTTCATTCAGGCTGAAGGAAAATATCAAAACTGGGGAATGTTCAAACTTCCAGAGCAATTTATATTTTCGTGGGATGATAAAACAGTGGGAGCACAACTCCTTCTATCGCAGGTAAAAAGGTTGAAAAATGAGTCTCTTTCCGATGCTACAATACTAAAATAAAGGTCGTGCTGCAAGTTGAAAAGACCGGCATTGTAGCCTATATTCACGGTCTCATATTTCTATCTTCATATACTGCCCTTGAAACTGCACCATCTTGTACTTAGCGGGGATATTGTTATGAAAGTTTCTAACTGCCGCAGTTGGTTTTCAGATTACGAATGAAATGAAAAGCGCGAACTATTTAGCACGAGCTACATCTTATTGCAAAGAAATTCGTGATAACAGAAAGCGATATACGCGGAAAGGATTATTATTTATGGATGAATGGAGTCCTTTGCGATATGCGGGTGAGATTGTGAAACATATTTACATATTATACTTTTTTCGAAACAAATTGCAGTGTCAATATCGGTAATTCATTGAACAATGGGCTTTCTTTATGTCGTAAGTTCACCTGATAATATATATACATGAGTTTTCAAACTATTTTACGTTTTAATCGTATATATGCTTCTGTCGAAATACCAAAATAAAATGTTCATATACATGTATATCGTGTTCCTATTTTTCGAGGTGTGTCCGATTACCGTTCTCAATTAGCGTTTGATAGCTAGTTTAAATAAAATTAATGATCCCATGTTCAAAGGTGCCAAATTCTCAAGTGCATACTCAATTCGTCGATAATTATGGTTTATTGCGACAAATTCTTAAGAAATATACAACCAGATAGTTATTACTTATCAAGATATAACAGAATTAAATAAGTATATATTTATTTTTTAGCAAACATAGCATTCATATGCCTTATGACAGCTGATCAAGGTGGGGATTCGACGTTGAATTTTGGTTTTGCTCAGAAACAAATCCACTATATGCTTGGGGACACTGGACGAAGTTATGTCGTGGGCTTCGGGAGAAAATATCCTAAATTTCCACATCATCGTGGGAGTTCGTGTAAACTCAATGATCGATCGTATGTTAGAACATCAAGTTTGCAATTTGAAATTTGTTTTAGCTTTTTATCTTATCCTCATTTTTACAAATTTCAGGTGTAACTGGGGTGATTTTAATTCAATGTCTCCAAATCCGATGATTTTACATGGGGCTTTGGTAGGTGGACCAAACCGAAAGGATGTTTTTGTTGATGAAAGAAAAAATTTTAAAAGCACAGAAGTGACACTGGACCATAATTCTTGTTTCCAAGTGAGTAAATACCGTACGACATATTCGCAATTTAGTAGAAGCAAATGTACAAGTTAAGACTTTCAACACGTACTTTGGATTTTTCGAAACCGGATTTTTTTTTAATAAGCCATTTTAGCAACAGCACGCAAACAACATTATTTTTATACTGTATTTCAAATTTTTCAATTTTGATAAGCCAAGATTTGTAGGCGATAGGCTAATGATAATCGTGAACAATATTTTTAGGGAGCATTGGCTGGCCTACTTCATCGTTCTATTATCGGAATCGAACGCCCGAACAACAGGTCTCATGAACCATGGTACTACAATATGCAGACGACAACTACAACCATCCGAACGTCAACAACAACGCTTGGCTCAAGCCCCATGGTTATGCGACCATGCTTCTATTTTTTGACTTTCTTGTGTATGCTAGTGAATTTGGGACTTCGATAAAAAGGACATTACCACGACGAACTCGACGTCATACTACAAAAAAGAGACGTAATACCCTAACAACGAACGAGGGAACTTTCTCGAAATGACCAACCCATAGTCCACAAAACAGACCAATATTCTATGATACTGATATGAGAAACTCTATTGGGTTTAACAATGGTATAGCCTACATGGTTACTGCTGAAAAACGCACGAGAATTTAGTTGCAAATATACTTATTGAAAGTCGAACCGCAGTGTATACCAATCACCATTCCTTATGTACATAGCTTCTGATTCGCGTGTTGTTTCCGTGCGTTTATATAATTATCTTATCGTTACATTTTTAAGTTTTGATAAATTATGAATACATAGTTTCTAGTTCTATTTGTTTAATTCATTCATATATATGTCAGCCACATTATTGCTTTTATGTTTCTATAGATGCTAAATATATATTTCTGCTCTATGTATGGTACAAGAGAGCGATGCTCAAATATACGAATACCAAAACCAGGCAATAGTCTATAACTCTATATTACCTTACCTTTTACAGTACCAGTACCGTAAAAAAACTTCCGACTTTGGCAAGAGAGTAGTACAAGAAAGGTCGAAAAACCACTACAAATAATTTGCATTAATTGTCAAGAGGTCGAATCACATGGCGCCCAGCACAGAAAGTTTTGAAATAAAAGTTATAACAGACTCATGCAATATACAATCTTTAGCCACTGAAAAATTGGTCCTGTAGATAATGTGGAAAGCAACTTTTTTCATGCGGTAACAACAAGAAGAAAAATACCAACGAGAACAACGATCCATCTACTTGTGTCCAATAAAAGGTAATGCGTTTCACCGACTTAGCCACGAGCCATAATCCTACATGAGGAATAATTCAGCACAGAAGAATTGCTGGGCATTTATATTGTCGCAAAGCAGTGCACACAACATCTAGCCGGCGTACGGTTTTACAACAAATCGGTATAACTATACCCATATATATTTCGAAAGAAATTATTCCCCGGGAAAAATACCAGTAGGAAAATCCACTTCTGCATAAAAATGCCCTTCTTTGCCGCCCGCCACTGAAGGTATTCAGGTGTCACCGGACTGGTCGGCACTGTACTCCTTATCAGAGACCAAGCCGAGGCCGTTGTAAGACAAGTGTTGCACGATTCCCACTGGGTATGTTCCGCTCGCTTAGCTATTGTATTCAGGCAATCTTGCTGGTATCTACCATACGGTAGCCCTGACACCACCCAACCAAAATACAATATTTACATGAATTTAGGGAGCCGTACAAAGTCATTTAATCCCATACAACGCGACGTACCAAAAAGCAAAGAATAAAACAAAACAACGTGACGGAATAAGCACACAGATATATAACACAACGACTAAACTGTCATAAATGAATGATATTGGACCCAAATTCCCGACGACGAGGGTCTGTGGCATTTGCTTTTATACTATGACAAAAAAAACGGAACGCTTGGTTAAAAATAAAACTTTTGCAACATGCTATCACCTGCACTGGAGCAATTTCATATCAAGGGGAATTGGAATGTTGCTTTGTGAATGTGTTCTTCAAAGCTGCATAAATTTAGCGGTTAATTGCTTCATTTAAAAAATACTATACGATAGTAAGTAGTCAAGAATAAAGACTTGATAATAAAGGCATCTTATCATAGGTAGCAATTTACCCCAATATGCAAAGTGTGTAAATTTGTAAGAAAGCAATGTGTATGAATAAGTTGTGGGACGCAATGACTGAATTAGAAAGATACAACTGGTGGTAAATAATATTACTATAGCAGCACAACTTGAATTTAAGTGCCGATGTCGAATAACAGTTTCAGAAGTTCCACAACTATTTAAAATTCTGAGTAAATATTAGCAACAAACAGAAATATTGTTAAAAAAGTGCAGTCCTAAGTAGAAGAACATAGTCAGAAAAAGGTTACTATAATTCGAAACACCTATTTAAATGTCTAAGAGAAACACCAATTGTTGTTCCACAATTTCAATAATCCAGTGTTATTCACAATTATTTTTTTCCAAACGTTTTGGAACAATATTTTATACAATATCTGTTCAAGAAAGCTGCTATATTGGGAGCACCGAAAACTTTCCGGTTCGGCACTGACTGATTGATTACATGAATGTTGAGTGAGCAGTTGGGCATTAGGTTTGACCCATAGTTACATTCAACCACAATTCAAAATGTTAATTGGCCAATCTATACCGTAATGTGTGATAGATAATTCACTGTTTGCTACTGAAACATGCAGATAATCATTGAGAATTCAATTCAAATCAAAATGTTCCATTTAACATTGGAAAATTGTTCAATTTTTACTAAGAACCCCACTTCCAGCATATCATACAGTCTTAAAAGAGTAAAGGCAACCTAAATTGGATTCAATGCAAGAGTACAAAAACAGAATATAAAATATTCTACAAGCAACCACACTACTGCAAATGACAAAGGTAACAGGAATTCAAACAGCGAGTTGTAACATTATCTCAATCTCAGAGATTGATATTAAGATCGACATAAGTAAAATTGGGTATGCAATACATGTACACAAAAAATAAAATTGAAAAACGGACAATTTTTCTGGCATTGGGAGTCTGGAAGATTTGTATTCTATATGTTTTTGAGAATTTAATCTCTATGGAGTTTCATACATCATAATATGTTGAAAGTCAAGACTTTCAGTTTTCGAACAGGAAAACATTTGCTGTGATTCAAAAGTTTATCATGGTTTTGGCCAGCACAAGAGTCAAATTTTCGAATGGATCGGCATTTGATGGAATTTGTCTTCAGAGCCCTGCATTCCACCCAGGTTATATAATTCAATAAGATGAGATCCAATCCGCACAATATTTTCAATGTTATAGGCTTAAGAGAGATTTGAATAATATATTGAAAATTGAAATAAAAATCAATGAACATTTAAAAATGGGAATGTATATACGACAAACTCACAATATTAATTCAGTACCCTCATGATATTACCAAGCATGTGCCATGAAAATATTTACAAATTAAATATCCACGAAAAGAGTTTGGGATCTTTAGAGAAATATCTGAAAGAATTGGAATTCTAACATATTTCCCCGAAGTGCATATCTCAGAGCAAACTTGCAAACCGATAAAAAGATCGAGTAAAAAAATGAAAAGATTCAAAATTTTAATGTGTGTTTGGAAAGTCTGTAGGAATGTAAAAAATATTATAAAAAAAGGATAGGATAGTCTCTTTACGGACCACATAAAAATATCTAAGAGTTGGAAGTGTTAATCACCAGTTGTTTTGAGTCCTGTGCAATATATTGAACAATTCTATATTTCAAGGTGTAAATAGAGTAGAAAATAAACACAGCCATGTGTTTCTATTGGTGATATACTCAGTCTAACCAGAAAAAGTAACTACAATGATAACAGAAATTACTGCTTTTGTTGAAAAATTAACATTTTTTTTACAACAACATCGATATTTCATAAAATCTGGATGACTCTACTTTTCTTAATAATAAATATATTCATTTAGAATATTGAAGAACGACAAAAATTGCAGGACAGAAATCTGAATAATGAACAATTGATAAACACATATCTTTGTGCAATCGCACTAGCCATTCTTGTTGTGACTTTGTTTTGGTTCAAACATTCAATGAAGGCTCGTTTAAAAATTAATTCCTTTCATATTTCAAGTAGCTCATGGTCAATACTCGGAGGAAACAATAAAATTATTTTGTAGTTAATTGGTATATGACATTATTTCATGGGATTTTACTGTAAAGCAAGTAAAAAGCATTTCGTCTGCAGGGCGAGTTTGGTCAATATGTTAAAATCTACGGCCTAGGTATATAATATAAAATACATTTTATATAATTAATGGGATGGCAGTCAGTACATTCATGGTTTTATACACATAAAGCAACATCAGTTACATTTTATAAATTGACAAAACGATAGATGTGTAAATTCGCAATATAAAAAAAAAATTTTGAATGTGAATATTGGTAAAAGTTTAAGGAATTGCAGCACTCTTGAATTCTGAATCACTAAGAAAATCTCAAATCTTGAAATGACTGAGGACATTTATTTTTGGACACAAAGTGTCCCCATGGAACATTTTGTTATTATGTTGTGATTGCTATTTTCTATTTAAGTATTTGTCTTCTTGTTGCGAAAAAATTCTTTTCTTTTTAATTACTTTACCAATTGCTTTGACATTTTCAGTGGTTAAAGATTGTTGTTGTCACTAGAAGGCTATCACAATTATTTATTTCAAAAAATTTTTGTGGTCTCTATGGAATTTGTTTTTATTGTTTGTGAGATGATGTCATGAAAATTAAAAACAATGCACCTTGTGGCAGTTCCCTGTTTGTTGCTACACGATGGTGAATTGGGATAGAGGTAGGAAAATCAAATACCAATTTCATCAAACTTTTACGTACCTACAATTTAATCAGAAAACATGGGACCTGTCAAGCCGTAACTTGAGATAGACATTTTCCATTAATCAATACTGTATTGTATTTCAATGGGATAATTTCCAATAAATGAAGGATAAACGTTGTGTGGGTTATTGCCCTTAGTTCTAAATCCAAGAGTTCAAATTAATTGATTAATCAGTACTAATTACTAATTAATTTCTTACAAAGCAAGCATCTTAGCACAATATATACTAGATAAAAAAAAATTTATCTTCAGAAACAATACAACTGAAACATATAGACACCAAAGATAATATAATATTTATAGAGAAACTTTTCAAAAAGTCGACATCAATCAGGCGGAAGTGATAGCAATAGCAAGAGATACGCTAGATTCTGGCAGTGAAGACACAACTAATGGGGATGTTGTGACAGTCAAAATATCCTTCCTACATGAGCTGTCCGATACAGATAATGCTGTTGTACTTGTATCGTCTGTATTGGTTGTCACCTAAAATAGCATAGATCAGATGAATTATATATATATTTATTATATTATGTATAGTAAAGACCTAATATATTAAAATGAGTGATATAAAAATATAAAACTTTGTACTTCTAATGTACAGCATTAATTTATCCTACATAAATTTGGTACCATACCTTCTAAATTTAGGTTCCAGGGGGAATAATCAATCTGAATGAATTGACTGTTGGCATAAGGATTATATTACCTTTCAAACTCCTTTTCTTTCCCAAAAAACGATCATTTTACAAAGGGATTCAAATAAATTCAAATATGGATCTAATTAGTGACTTGAAAACAACAAAGTTCGAAATATGTTTCAGTGTGACATTTTATTAAGATTCAAAAATCCACTCACTGGTTTAAATCTTCCACCATCATCGTCCTCATCATCATCATCTGACTGAGATGAATCTGCATCTTCTCCTTGAATCTGACGCATTTCAAAATCTATAGAAATTTAATATAGGATAGGAATTTTATATTTATCCTGGAGGAAGGTTGGTAGTACTACTCAATCATATGGCAACCCACAATCTCACATTAGGTTCTTCGAACCAGTCCATGCCAAGTATGAGAATGGTTAACCAGTTATTAGTTGCAGATGCATGGGCTTGGTGGTGGAGGCCATAACAAAACAATGATTACGTGAATCATCCTATAGCGATCCCCTCAAACATAATTCGAATCCATGTAGGGTAATCAGAGGTGCAATGGCAAGCATGTTCCAAACACACACAAAATTGGGTACTCCCATAGTATGTGTACCAGGTTAAGGTTAGGCCATAATTTTATTCCAATTTCCCTTATTTTAGTTCCATTACGAGTCTGGGGACTGCCTGTGTTAGCCAAGTGAATATACCCCCTGCCCATAGGCTTCAGTCCCTTTACAAAACTTGATGTAAAGTAGGAGAACAAAATTAGTTCTCTTAAAATTGGTACAAATACTTTTGGAGTGCCCAAAATTGAATAATTTACTATTACCTATATATTCTAAAATAAGATTTGAAAACGGTATATTGAATATGTTCTCTAAATTGTGTCTTGTTCAACGGAGAAATCACTGTAAACTTGATAGAAATTTGATAATGTAAAATAGTCTGAATGGACATTGTCCTGATATGAGGAGTTATATGAAGTCTGTTTTATGCCTGATAATCAGATGTCAAATGCTTATGACAAATTATCAAATAAAAGTATTTTAAATTATCAATGAACTTAAAAAACTTATTTTACATATTCTGACCAATTTCGAATGATTTGAATATGTGATTCGTTTCAGATATTACTGATAGCGACTCAATTTTTTTATGTAACAACGCTTCGATTAAATCTCCATAACATACGATCATATTGTGATTCTATATAAATTCAATAAAATTGAAGTAAAAGATTTTCATTTTGAGACCGTGCGAACCAGTAATTGTCTGTGTATTATTATTAACAAACAATGCTTTGGTATGTAATTTCCGCATACCATAATTGCAAAACATATGGAAGTGGACAACAACGCTTGGTAACAAAGCTAAAGTTTAATAATAAAATAATTGGGCCATTCAAATTACTACAAATCAATAAAGATACAATCAGTATACTCTAAGGCGCAAATGTCAAATGATTGTTAAATAATTTATATTTTGAAATGACCATTTATGAAATTCACTGCCCAGAGGGACATTGTTATTGATAAAAATAGAGATAATTATTTGAGTAATTTCTGTTTTGTATCTCCTTTTAGCTTGTCATGAACTAAAATAGCCAAATAGCCAAGTTGTTCTAAAATTATTCAGTAAGATATTTTGAGATTATCCAGAACAAAAATTTAAAAACAACATATGAGGTAAATATCTAAAAAAAGAAAGTGAAAATTCATCAATAATAAGCAGAAGAAAGAAAAATTTGATGACAGTACAAATAACATGAATAGTCATTTCAAAATTGAAACAAATACTTGGCCAATCAGATTTCAAGCTATTTGTTAATATATTGTATGATGAATGTATAAAATGAATAAGCAATAAAAAAGGAACTAACTTATAATGTGAAACACTTTGAGGTATTGATAGAAAAGCAGCACAATTTTTTTTAAATATTTTTAAGAATTACAATAAATTCATCATTACATATTTATATTGCATAGGTTGCATGTTACAGTTTAATTCTTGATCAGTTAAGAATTTTCTATGACAAATCATTATAAATAAACAAGTGTATAGGTAAGTACGGTATACTTATCTATTCAAAATAAGTCCTCTATTTGTAAGTAATGTCGGTAGCTACTTCAATTCAGTAAGTGAAAATATCATGATTGGTTGTCAAAGAAACAAAAACTTAATTCAACTATGTTTTTATATTGAGTGTTCTCTTAAATAAAAGTTTACATGATGTAAAATTATTCCAGTTAAAGACCATCGAGGTTGGTCTCGATTAATTAACGTTTTATGGCTAAAAAACGCTATTCTTTTGATTTTAGCACCCAATGAATACAAATATAAAATTGCTCGCTTCTTTCCACAATCCAGAACAAATGAGTATATTTTCAACAAACTTATGAAATGAGTGAAACTATTTATTACTTGGGAATGTTTTTGTGATGTCATATTTTACAGTTAACTATTTTGAGTGTAACACAGAAATCACTGACGTCTTTATTCACATTCACTAGAAATTATATATAGGGTGTCCTAAAATAAATGAAACCCACAAAATTGGTAATTGAATTATGGGGTTTCATTTATTTTGGGACCCCCTGTATTATATAGCAATAGCTACAAGGATATAATATGATTGTTATTACAAATGGGAATTTGATTACCAAATTACCAGCACAAGAACTAAAAGTGAATATCCCTATATATATTTATCATGTATTACAACACATTGATCAATGACTGCTTTTAAGTATTTTTTGTTAAAGTTAATTATGAGAACAAAAATAGCTTAGACTATAATATTACAGAACGTTTCAAAAAGTCACTACTTTCCATCACCAGTAGTTAAGATAAAAGAGAAAGGAAAATCAATCTATCACAACAATCAAACTTTTGTTTGTTCCCAAGGCCTGGCTATTAGATGATTAATAATAAGATTTGTCCGGTGTCAATAGGTAAATATAAATATTGATTAAGTTTCTATCTTTAATTTTATTTTCTGCTTAAAGATAATGGCCTGATAAGTGACTGAAATTTTACCAAGAATCCCAAAAGGAATTATTAAATTTATAATTGCACTTAAAGGGGCTTTTGAAAAATTATAGTCTAAACATAGTTTCGAAACCATTTGATGAATAAGGAGTCAATGACTAATACATTGGTTTATTGTAAAAAAGTGTATTGTACATACAGAGGGCATCTGCTTGAATAGGTTTTTATTGCTTTGATACGAAAAAAATTAGACATTTTAGGTCCGAGCACATAAAAAGTAAAAGCATTTAATGGGAAATTTCAGGATACTTGTTATGTTTTTAAGATCCAATTTCATTAAGTATGGTAATATCTATAATTTGTATCATTCACAGATGACTACACTATAAATTTATACAATCATCCATGGCCCATGCTCCAAAGGCAGCCTTAAACACCTTGTTATATGAAGCCAAAAACAAACTTGAGACTCAAATGGAAAGCTCTCCAACATAGCACATATTAATAAGTCCCCAATTAATTGTCTGAGTGGGCTCCTTGAAATGTAATTGTTTCATGAGGAGGCTAAGCTACGGGTACTGTATTGTACACTTTCATACTGTAATGGAAGTTACATTCTATAATGTTTTGGAAAGTTTAGTATGAATAGGATTTTATAAAGCAATTTTTTCGAGTAATTCAATCTTACTGATACAAACATTTTCTATGCAATATAAGCTACACCACAACAGCGTTTTGAATATAAATTGCCATATTTAAGCAAATGAGATAGACTTTTTGGTATATAGCAAGAATGGAAAAACAGAGTATCATGGCAAAACGGAAGCTGCAGCCTGCAGCATTTATGCAAATTCAAATATCAAAATAGTAAACTTAAGCTGTTGGTAACATATCACATATTCTTATTTAATATCAAATTGCCTAGAATATATTGTTTTATTCACAGTTATTGAAGTATCATACTAGTTCACTAACTAGTAACAATAAACAATCTTGGATGAAAAATTTTAATAATGTAATAAACATCAACTTTCCAAATATTTGACTTATTTAATTTTCAATGAATTGAAAAACATTCAATATAAGGAGTAATGATATCTAAATGCAGAAGTACATACTAAAAAATGGTTATAGGATTAAGATATACAGAGCAAATTATGTTCCTCATCACATCGCTAAATGATATCACAAACCTAATTGACTAAAGCTAGCAAACAAAGTTGTCAAATTTGTTCATATTTACCAGTAATACTTGGTTTTCGAACCAAAGAAGCAGATGTCTTCATCAATATAGATGTCTTCAATCGTTGCTTCGTGTAATCTGACACAGACCCAGTGCGGAATATTTTTCTGTGTTGAGTAATTGAATTTATCTTTCCTTCTTCAGGATGAGATTTTTCATTCTCTAATATGAAAAAATTGATTATAGTTTTTTTTTAACGCTATTATATACCACATCTTTATAATCTGATACATGTCCAACTGTTTCACATGATTTTATGCAAATAGTTTTAAATATTCTAATAGTTTCATCCACTAAATAATTGATTACTTGCATGATATAAAAGGAATATTGATAAAAGATTATTATCACTGAAAGATATTCAAATTTTCATATATTTTTTTATTGAGATACATCCATATGTGGTGTTAGGTATTAGGGTAACCTTTGACAATGTAACTTGTTCCCATGTTTTCGGACAGGCATGGTGGGATGGTTCAACATTCAAATAACACGATTTCTTAGAAACAAATTTCGAAATAGGTGTCAAAACTCTGTGAATATGGCAAAATTCATATGCAAATATGGTTGTTTCCATAATTTCAATTTTCGTATTTTTTCTCATCGTTGATACAATATCATGAGATAGAATTTAGAAACTGAGATATCAATCCCGTAATGCCAACATTATGAAGCAAAAAACACCGATATTATACTTCACGCATGCAAAAATTAGGAATGACAAATGGTGGCCGTACATTTGAACCCACGTACATTTGAACCCATATCCGCAGGTTTAATCTATATGCGGGTGCTAAAACCCATAGGTTAGTATGGGTTCAAATATCCGTAAAACAAAAAAAAATTCCATAGGTGCAATAGTATGCAGGTGCAATTGTCATGGGTTCAAATGTACGTGGGTTCGAATGTAATGGAACCATGACAAATCTGTGTGAGAATACACAAGCATCCCCATCAAGCCGATAAGATGGCTGATTCGATGCCTAGAGCCATGATTCACCTCATCTTTGCTTCAGGAAGAAGTTATACAACTCATTTATACTACCAGTTACTACTTATCTTGAAAATTGTTACCTGTGAATTCACTACTTTCGTCCACACACACTGGCATTGAAGTGGATCGAAAAAGTGGAGCTTTTGTTGACCTATTTTGTAACTGAAGATGCTTCAAATTAGGATCTTCTTTCAGTCGTTTATTTCTGTTATCTTGTACTTGTTGAGCATTCAATATCTTCCCTTGATTATATTCTTTTGGTTGAGCAGTTGTAGTTTGTTGGTGAAGGGGAATGTGAGAAGTATTAGTTATCTTTGTGTATACTTGATTTCCTGACTTAACAAGTTTGATACCAGATGACACAGTTTCAGAATTTTCATGTTCAGTATTTTGAGACTTTGATTCTGCAGACTCTTTTTTCAGTGACTGCTCATGTTGATCTTTTATCTGATCATTGCACTCAGCATCAACTCCATTGTCACCAGTTGATGACATTTTCTCATGTAATGGTATGAGATACCAAAATTTTATTAAAAATATGTGCACAGGTACCTAATATTTTTATCGTTGCATAATGCTGAAGAAAAGCATCAGCTATCACACTTACTGTTGAACTGGATTAAAAAGCAGTATAAAATCAGTTTTGAAGATTTAAAGAATGCCAAACCCTAGCTGCCTAGTGTAAATTTCACTTCTGTGCTTATATTTTACGAAACTTAGTTCTATTATCTGACTGCCAGACTGTAGGAAAAATATCTAACTGGAAGGAAGGATTTACATGTTTATCCCGGGAGAGAGGAAAGTTGATAAGACGGCTTAATCATATGGCGAACCACGGCCTCTCGTCCGGTTACCAGTTCAGGTCGGGTATGGGATTAGTTAGCCAGTTATTTGTTTTCGGAAGCATGGACTTGATGGTGAAGGAAACCGTAACCGACCAGCGGTTACGTGAACCATCCTACTGCGGCGAGGAGTCCAGCAATCCTCTCACACATGATCATCCCTGCATGGGATTCGAACCTGTGGTGGCGAGCGTATTCCTAACGCTTAGCACGATGCGCCACACCGCCGAGCCAACTGTACTCAGAGCAAAGCATTGAATCCCCTGACTCTCTAACTATTGAATAGTATACATTGAGCTCTTGAAACAAAATTGAATAGAGTACCGGTATGCCTTTGAATAAAATGGGGTCACATGCAGACATGGTTTCATTAGGTATCAAATCGATCCCAACAACAGGGCCAGCAAAAAGTAGAAATACAATCTGAAGGGGTGGAGGCTAACTCGCCATGGGGGCTAACCAGGGTTGCCAGACCCCAGCGATCAAAAAAAGCCAAACCAAGACATAAAAAAGCCAACAATTTTACTAAGTACAAAAGCCCCATGATTTGTCAGATTTTAAGCCCTTGGCAACGTACGGTACCGGTCTTACTACTTACTGAATACAGCGCGAAACACCGCAAAGAGCGCAAAATAGTGGGAAAACAGTGCGAAAGAGCGCAAAACAGAGGGAAACAGTGTGAAGCAGAAAAAATTTTTGCAATGAGTTCGGGGCACCTTGTTTTGAGTTGGATTACCACGGCAGCAAATTAAAAACACAAACCAACGTATGTAGCCAGTAATGCTGTAATGGTAGGTCTGCCCCTGCTGGTGACACATTTTGGGTACGGTACCATAATTTAGAACATTTTCCATGTGGATATGGTTGCTTTAGGGTTAGGGTTAGGTAAAAAGGGACCTCCGGAACGTTCTTACTACTTACTGAATACAGCGCGAAACACCGCAAAACAGTGTGGAAACAGCGCGAAAGAGCGCAAAACAGAGGGAAACAGTGTGAAGCAGAAAAAAATTTTGCAATGAGTTTGGGGCACCTCGTTTTGAGTTGGAGTGCCACGGCAGCAAAGTAAAAACACAAACCAACGTGTGTAGCCAGTAATGCTGTAATGGCAAGTCTGCCCCTGTTGGTGACACATTTTGGGTACCATAATTTAGAACATTTTCCACATGGATATGATTGGCTTTAGGGTTAGGGTTAGGTAAAAAGGGACCTCTAGAAGTATGTGCACCAAGATGGCACACAACCTGAAAATAGTATGTGTGTGTGTAGCGGATTCAGGTTGTGCGACATATTGCTGCACATATTTCTGGAGCACCAAAAAGGTAGATAAAATTTCGCATGATGACCTATAATCCGGTACATAACCTTGTAAATATGCCGGAAATAGCGCCATAAAGCCATGGCCAGAGGCGCCGTGGTTCTTTCGTGGCAGGAGGTGGTAATGACCCAGACTGGATTCCATGGCAGGTGCACGCCCGAGGGCGCTAGCGCTCCGCAAAAATGCACGCGAGCGAATTCAATTTTGCACGCCGAAAATTTGCAATTGCTCACCAATGTAAATCGGTTTGAATGGTTTTAAAATCAATACCGGTAATCCAGTACTATAAAGATGCCAAAATAATATAACTCTACAATTATCGACAAATACTAGCTTGCAAGATTTGGTCTAATCGAAAAATTGCGAAGCAAAAATATCGTGATGAATGATAGGAAACCCGTGAGAATAGTTATGGACGAAAAGATCGCCTTCGCACCAACTCTGGCCAGGTATGGCTCTGATTCAGCGTATTTTTCATACAATAATTTTACACGAATGTACTGAACAGTACCGGTATCTAAAGTCGCACAAACACTCTCAAAATTAGTGACGAAGTATAGAAATAATGTTTGGGGTCAAAAGTCAAACGTCCATTTTGCTCTAATTTGACGTATTTTTTTATCCATTAATTCTACGTAAAAACACTCCTAAAATTAATGACAAAGCATGTTCATTTTACTCTGGGTCAACGTATTTTATATCCAATAATTTTACGCGGATATACTGAACAGTACCGGTATCTAAAGTCGCACAAACACTCTCAAAATTAGCGACAAACTGTAGAAATAATGTTTGGGGTCAAAGGTCAAACGTTCATTTTTGCTCTGATTCAACGTATTTTTTATCCGATACCGGTAATTTTACGCGGATTTATTGAGACGTATCTAATATCAGAGTCAGTTGCACGCGGGCGCAGTTGTTTTGCACGCCGTGAGCTATTATTGCACGCCAGGAATTCTTATTTGCACGCTGGAATTTCTGATTGCACGCCCGATTTCTCGTTCAAAAAGGCCATGAAATCCAGACTGGGTAATGACTGCGTCTCCTGTTTTGCGCTGTTTCCCTCTGTTTTGCGCTGGTTTCCTTCTGTTTCGCGCTGGTTTCCTCTGTTTTGCGCTGTTTCGCGCTCTTTGCGGTGTTTCGCGCTGTATTCAGTAAGACCCCTGATTACTGAATACAGAATAGCGCTATAAAACCATGGCAAGAGCTGCCGCGGTTCGTTCGTGGCAGGAGCTGCCATGAAGTGGTAAGAACTGCGCCTCTAAAAAATTCTCCTTATATCTGTATATCGTACTTCACTATTGAAAATTTTTTCACTTTCAAAATTTATAAACCATCAATTTTATTAAAAAATTACCTAACCCCCTGCCGCTCACAGGTGGACCACTGATATCATATAAACCATATCAGGCATTATGAAATATAATGTTATACAACTATTTTTTGGAAACAGAACGTAAAACTGACAAACAACACCGAAAACTATAAAAACGAGGCAATGTTTACAACCCGGCTTGAACATATGTCTGAGCAGCTGCAGAAACTGCAATTATTTCTTATTGGGTATGGTTAAGAGTTAATGTAACAAACAAAGAAATCGATGCTCCAGGAAATCCTAATGTTAAGTAGCTAAGTACAGGTAATAGGCTACCGGTATTGCAGTATTGTTCAGTTGTTACACACTAAATATTGTATTTCATATGATTTCAATAATAGACACTAGAATAGACTTGAAAAAAGCCAAAAAAAAAACGCCAAAATGCCAAACGGAAATTCTGACGCCAAACACGTTTGAAAAAAGCCAAAAATGACAAATTTGGCGTTAAAAAAGCCAATATGGTACCGTAACCCTGGGGCTAACTCGCCATGGACCACTCGCCATGCGACGGCGGTTATTTGGAGAGTCATACAACACTAATACAAAAATTGATCGAGTCTAATAAAGGTTACAAACAAACTATTATATCTATCTAATGTCCTCAATGAAGAGAAAAATATAAAACGGTCAAATCATTTGAAACAAAACAGCAAACGTAGATTGAGGGCAATAAACTATCGCGCTCTACTCTGAACAATCTTGAAATCTGCGGATTCCGACTCCGTGCACTTATTTTCGTCCAAGAAGCTGGACATTAGCCTGTACAACAGGCTGTTGAAGCGGGTGATCATTTTAAAAAGTGACATGAATGGGAGATAACGTCAACATCACCAATTATATATATGTTGGTATTTTACAAATTGGAAAATCCCTCCACGCAACGAATAATTTCAACATCCGTATTTTAAATAATTTTTTAAAACATTCTGGACCAGATTCAAATCTAAATATATCGGTCTACATTTAGTCGGTACCGATACATCGGTATATCTCTAATCTAAGCATCGTTGTGAACCTTGCTTCGTTTTCATTGTTGTGCGTGAGTCAGTTTTCAAGTGCATTCTCAAAAACTAGTTTTAAATCAAATAACTTGATAGCCATTACTAAGGCACCAATATAGATTTTTCGATAGTACTTTTCTGCGGTGCCCTTGGAGCCCTAAGCACGTGCTTATATTTCCAAATGGTTAATCCAGCCCTGCGTACCTAATCGCCCCAATTGCCATTCCCTGCTACTATAATTAATAGCCTCTGTCCGTGGCACTTAAGTGCCATAGTTAGGGATGGGCAATTCAGAATATCGAATCTGGAGGATTCGGATCCAAGGGGATCAGATAACTGAATTTGGTTTCCGCTTCTTTAAAAGCATTCGTCAATTTTTGTATTTCCGGTTTTATAATTTATTAATCAGAGATGAGCTTTTCGTCTTGCGTCAAAATTTCTCTCGTTTGATTAAAAGCGGTAGACGTCAAACACGGAAATCTCAGCGCTTCAGATCAAGAAGACTCCCATGAATGAACAAACGCCTCACGGCGAAGACTTGTTGTTGCACCATTTTCTCTTTCTCCAGCTTTACAACCTAGTTAGTGATTGATTTCAACAATCTAGCCCAATTTTGTATACCAATTTTTATTCATGTCATATGACCCCCAAAATTTAATTTCTCACAGACGTACCATGCTCCGTTTAAGATTAAATGATTTTTCGCGACCTACGAGTTCTACCGAGAACAATGATCTAAAGCAGGATTGTGCAACCTTCTTCGTAGACGGGCCAAATATCAATAACGGGGTAAAACCGCGGGCCGCACTTTCATTACAATAGGCTTTCTATTAGCTGTAGGCACATAATAGTGTCTATATGTTATTGATTCTAAATCGTCATTATTGGGGGTCCTTGCAGGAATGATGAGTTAAACTGTAGTTCAAATATATCGTTACATCCATTTTATACGAATTCGGTAAGAAATTTGCTGCTAGATTCTTTATCCAAATTTGCTTAAATGAAAGTGATACGAATTTGATATGGAGCCCGTTTTTGAACAAAAAGATGTAATCGAAAAGTGCCCTATTTGAAGCCATGACCTTTTTCAAATGTGGGAAGTTATCTTGGTTGAAATGTTTTCGGTAAAATACGCCAAGATTCATTTCCGAATAATTTGCTGTCAAATTTTATTCTTGATTAGATTTGGACAAAATCAACTGATAGACTGGAACCAAACTCAATTTAGTTTTTGCATCTCTTGATATTAAAAATTTAAACTGCTTTCCAGTTTCTTGATCTTCAATTGCCCGTTCATACAAGTTCATTAGCGTCTGCTCCGCATTTCCTTTCAAATTTTTCGCAGTTCAGCAAGTGGCAGCTTTGTGAATCGCGTTGCTGTTGAGACGTTGTAACGTCATAGGCACAGATAACAAATTGGACTCGGATATTATCTTTGAAGCCCAACCAGATCAAAATAAAGTAAAAACTAGTTTAGCCGCACACCATTGAAAATTCTCTACGGGCCGCACAATATTCCCTTGCGGGCCGCACCCCTGATCTGAAGTTTAGATCAGAGATTAGATTAGATTCTAAACCAAAAGCCAGACGTTAAATGTTATAACATTATTTGCGATTAATTTAGATCAAATATTATTTACAATGATTTAATACATTTACGACAAGCCTCTTCCGAAAATACAAAGTTTCATCACAAACAAAATATTGGTCACATTTATTTTGCACTCCCAAATAATTACATCCTTCTCGGGAATCTGCGATTCGTTATCGGATGTTATTACATGTTAAGTACGAAATCACGATTACGGTAACTTTATTTTACGGGTCTTAATCTCACAGAATAAACACGCTGACCCATACTTGATTATAATTGATAGTGGTTAAATCGTAAATATATACTACTACGATTAAATTCAATAGTTTGCACCCGTAATTGACGCGAAGACTAGAAAGGAAGGATAGGATTTACATATTTATCCCGGGGTAGAGGAAAGCCGATAAGACGGCTTATCCATATGGCGAACCACGGCCTCTCGTCCGGTTACCATTCCAAGTCGGGTATGGGATTAGTTTTTACTGTATTGTTTGTTTTCGGAAGCATGGACTTGGTGGTGGAGGAAGCCGTAACCGACCAGCGGTTACGTGAACCACCCAACGACGGCGAGGAGTCCAGCAATCCTCTCGCACATAACCATCCCTGCATGGGATTCTAACATGCGAACCCACGCAGAGTAATTAGAGGTGCGCTGGCGAGCGTATTCCTAACGCTTAGCCCGTTGAGCCACACCGCCGCGCGGTACCCGCTACGGCGCATAAGTTGCAGTTGTCTCGGACTGGCCGTGCATATACTGTGGTGCAGGTGCCGTGGTGGACAAAACATCACCACACATATATATCAAAACTCCCAATACAGTGCCTAATAATGCAGCAAAACTTTGTCTTCTCAATAACCGAGCGGTAATGCTGCCAGGAAAATTTTTAAGCAAGTTAGGTCAAAAAAAATATGTGATAACTTGTGACTTATTATAAAATTTTGTTTTTACATAAAAAAAAATATTGCAGAAATTATCGAATTTCATTGGCCTGAGCCAATGATCGGAACATTTTCAATTACACGCGAAGACTGATACATTTACAATTTTTTTTTACATTTTATTCCACAGGAACATAATATCAAAACTATCTATATATACGTCCATTTCGTGATTCAGTATTCTGGATTTGATTTGAGTATTCTAAAATACCGTAATAAATTATTCAACATTTCCCACCCCTAGTCACAGTGCAGTAGTTGTTTTAATGCTTATAGCTGCATAGGATTATATGACTGTACGAAATATGGGGCAAGGACCTTTAAAACCCAGCAGGAATCAACATAAACCCAACAGTAGAAGCTTTGATAAGTCGAATGAAAGAATTCCAAGATTGTATCTAAATATTTCGGATCAAGCCTGGCCATTAGTCTACAGTTCTGGCTACAATGTAAGTTTTGGAGGCATGGAAAAGTTGCATCCATTTGATGCTGGCAAATGGGGAAGAGTTCATCAGATGCTGATAGATAAGAAAATGTTATTGCCTGGGGAATTTGTTGAGCCTTTAGAAGCGTCAGAAGAGGAATTGCAAAAAGTACACAGCCAGAAATACTTAAATAGTTTAAAATGGAGTGCGAATGTAGCAATGATCACGGAAGTTCCACCAGTTGCAATGCTGCCTAATTACTTTGTTCAACGCTCAGTTCTGCGACCATTTAGATTGCAAACGGGTGGCTCAATCTTGGCAGGGAAGTTGGCAATGGAGAGAGGATGGGCCATTAACATTGGTGGTGGATTTCATCACTGCTCTGCTGAGCGTGGAGGAGGATTTTGTGCTTATGCTGACATAACCTTAAACATTCGTTATTTGTGGGAAAACTTTCCAGACATAAACAAAGTCCTGATTGTCGACCTTGATGCTCACCAGGGAAATGGATATGCTCATGATTTCATGGGTGAAGAAAGAGTTTTCATTTTCGATGTGTATAATCGTTTAATATATCCGAATGATCAGCGTGCTAAATTAGCCATTTCTCGTCCGGTGGAATTGGTGCATGGAACGAGTGATTCAAAGTATCTGGAACTTGTGAGAAAAAACCTTCCTGAAGTCATTGAACTGTTCAATCCTGAATATATTGTGTACAATGCTGGAACAGACATTCTCAGCGGCGATCCACTTGGTTGTCTTGATATATCACCTAATGGCATTGTTGAAAGAGATCAAATAGTGTTTGAAGCGGCCCACAGAAACAAAATTCCAATTGTTATGTTCACGTCTGGTGGATACCAAAGATCAACTGCAGCAATAATAGCAGATTCAATTTTCAATCTCAATAGTCATGGATTTATAACTGGACCTAAAAATATTTTGCATTCTGAATAATGAATGTGATATCAGTTGCAGGAAGCTTTCTATACAGTGATTCTCATACTTCCTTTTGCAATCATTAACTCCATCCATGATCATAATATACATTTATAGTTGATACCTGAAATATCTCGAATGACCTCATATGAAAAAGCCTACTGTGTTTATTGACATATATTATTCATAAATTATATTATTCTTTTGTTTGTCACTTACATCATCTCAACTTTAATCCATAACTCAACTAACAAATGTCTTATGGAGCCCAAATTGCCTCATTGGATGTAGTGTTCAATTGAAAATGACAAAATTAATCTGATTTGAACAAAGTGGTCAGACTAATTTGACTCATATTTTACAATCATAATTCTTCTTGTGGTAAATCTTTAACAAACGAACTCGGTATCAAAATCGGAACCTTATTGGCGATTTTGCATTTTTCTCTGTTTGTTTCATGAAATTTAGATTAAATGCAATACCTACAGACTACAGTATTTATTCATTTCTCTAGTAAATGCTCTTTCCAAAAATTTTGGTTTTGTTGATTTTACATATTTTTGAGTTTATGGACTTGATTGATTGATTTGATTGATGAATTTGATTTGTGCTTATCGCATCTTTGAAAAATAGTTTTCAATATTAATTTTCATCACATGAATATACACATGACAATGATATGGTCATTTTCATATGCTTATCGAGAACAGCCATATGTTATATGCCTAAAAACATAGTTTATGATTAGAAATGTGCAGTCAGATTTGGATATTTGTATCAATTTCACTGTCAATGTGAAAGCATTTATCATTTGTCAATAGTATGCATAAATCTGCAATAAAAAAAATAATAAGTGATAAGTTGTATTTGAGTTTATGTTGATGTAAATGCTAGTTTTATATTTCTTGTGTTCAACGTTGATACCCATTTTCCCTCTTACAATTTTATTTTTCATTTATTATATACTGTATAAAATGATTATTACAAAGTTTTACACATTTATGCACTAAATTTTTATCACTGTCACTTCATTTTATATTATTAATAATCATAGTATATCAGTATGGGCCAAGGTGCAAGTACTGAACTCAGGGAGGATGGCAGTTCTGACCTGCACAAAAATGATTTGTGGCCTATGGTTCATTGTCCGGAATATAATCTACGCTTCATGGGATTAGAAAAAATGGGCAAATTTGATTTATTGAAAGGAAATAATATTCGTCAGATACTTATTGCACAAAAAATTTTGACAGTTAATTCATTCTCCACTCCTGTTGAAATTACGGAAGCAGAGTTGAAAGAAGTTCATACCCAGGAATATATGAAGAGCTTGAAAAGATCCAAGACCATTGCAAAAATAACAGGAATATCTGGATTAGCAATTTTTCCATACTCTGTTATTGAAAAGTCAATAATGCGACCACTTCGAGTTCAAGCTAGTGGTTCAATTTTAGCGGGAAAGCTTGCTATGGAACATGGATGGGCAATAAATCTTGGTGGTGGGCAACATCATTGCAGTGCAGGAAAATCAGAACCTTCTGGTTTTTCACCTTATGCTGATGTGACTTTAAACATTAAATATTTGTGCAAGAATTTTCCAAGCGTGAATAGAGTACTGATTATTGACTTGGATGTGCATCAAGGGAATGGATATGCTCATGATTTTATGAATGATGAAACCGTATATATTTTTGACATGTATAATTGCATGATATTTCCTGGTGATGAAACAGCAAAAAAGGCTATAAAGCGTAAAGTTGAGTTGAAAAATGCCATGAAAGATGATGAATATATCAATCTTTTAAAGTCTAACATCAAAGAAGTGTTAGATGAAGCTGATCCACAGTATGTGTTATACAACGCAGGTACAGATATTCTGAAAGGAGATCCGCTTGGAAAATTAAATATATCACCTAATGGTGTCAAGGAAAGGGATAAAATTGTTTTCACTGAAGTTCGAGGACGTGATATACCTATTGCCATGGTTCTGTCAGGAGGTTTCACACGAAATACTGCAGGCATTGTGGCAGACTCAATAACTTAGTTGCAGGAGTGTGGTCTTGTGGAAGGCCCAAAATCAAATGTTCTTTCCTAACTTCATTTACCTCTAATATTTCTATATCAATATGCAAGTTAAGTAAAACAGTGTTGTTCCAACATAGTATTTTTCAGCCTTTCAATAAGCTCTTTATTATTGAGTAATATATTACTTCTTCAATCAGATGTCGCATGTATGGTAACACTGTTAATTATGCAAAATTTCATTCTTATTTCATGATACTAATAAGGCCAGCACAGCTCTCTTTGTTGTAATTGTTTCTTGTTTTCTAGCTGTATATCAAAGAATGTTCCTCAATTTTTACCAAGCCACTGGAATGGAAAATGTTTGAGGATTATATTTATAAACCATTGCCAATATCTACCTGCCTACGTTCATTAGTCTTTCTAAAGAATCAAAACTTATATTTTAACCAAGCACCTAATGCCAAATATATATCTTACATTATGCTTTTTCTCAATTGATTTTCACTAATATTTCTTAAATTTTTCATATTTAAAAATATTTTAACAATTGCTTATATCAGGGATGGCGAACCTTTTTCAATGAATGGGTTAAAAACTAGAATTTTATCGCGGAACAGAAGAAAGTGAGTCACAGATATTTAATTCACGTTTGTATTTATAAGAAACTTCTGAAACAAATTCTATCAGCACTTCTATCAGGGACTTTTTATGGCATTCGGTAGATTTTTATTTCAAGTCTGAAAGTTTTTGTTTTTATAACGGCATTGTAGGCGAGAAACTAATAAAATGCAAAGTAGCATCTAGTTCTCGTATAACCCCTAAAACAGTCTGCAGATGCACTTTTAAAAAAGACAGGCGTTGTGAAAAATGACTGGATCAATTGCATTGTTATGTCATAAACGATGTCAGGCCCAATTGCTGAATAACGGTACACAGCGGTGCATACATGCGTACAAGATTAGGGGTTTTGAAAATTACCATACCGGCCCGAAAATCAACATTTTGAACATGAGCGATCGCAGCCCTCCCTGACTGTACAACTGACGGTACATTATAATAGTTTAGTAATTGTTAGATTAATTTAAAGCCGGTTTTATCATTTTTTATCACTGATATGTTAGCATTTTTATTATTTCATTCGTGCCTCCGCTTGGCGGGTCACAAATAAAACGCGGTGGGTCACTTTGTGACCCGCGGGTCAGTGGTTCGCCATCCCTGGCTTATATAATTGTCTCTATTTTAGACAATTTAGAGTTTGTAATAATATTAATTATGACATTTTATGATGAGATTGTATATGTTCTTATCCTATCCTCTTCCGTGGCATCGGGTTTGCTTCTAAGAAGTGTTGAGAACTCACGGATTAAACAGGTACTATGAATATATTTTTTTGCTAAAATCGGAATTAATATTTGCATTTTTTTTTTGTAATTCAGACTGTTATTGACATATAATAAAGATATTTTGGCCCTTCTTATAGATTTTTACAGTAATTTAATAATTACAAAACATATTTTACTGGTTTTAAATTGCCCACTAATAGGTTTAATATTTCACAAATGATAAATTTTCAGCTTCTTTCATCGAGTTTTGGTCTGCTGGTTGTCTTATTTTTATGTGGATGGGAAACTCTTCATTCAATCTTATCCATTATTGGAACGCTATGCATTATCAAATCTCATAACAAGTGGGTGAATTGTGTGAATTTTATCTTGCTTTTTATATGGAATTTGTTAATGACTGAATTCCTTGTGTTTTTTACAGGCAGACACCATTGCTTGCATTTATCTTCGTATTTTCATATTTACTATTCTTTCGATGTTCAACGCTTTTTGGATTGCCGAAAAGCTCTGCTGTTGGGAATGCTGTACAACTGTTACTGACATTAAAAGTAAGCTTGATGATGATTCATCAATAACTCTATTTTTCTCAGATGATTAGCTCAAAGTAAGGTTGTATTATTTTTCCATTCAGAAGTAAACGAGACTAATGCAGTGGTTCTCGATACTTTTTAAGCCACGCCCCTTTTTTAGAATTTGTCAACCAATTTCAAGTCTTGCGACCCCCATAAAATACATGGATGGAACGTAAATATCCAAAATAAGGAAATGTGAAAATCCAAATTATTTTTATTTTTAATTAGCTTCATGCCTCCTCAAAAAATTCTCTTGTGGGGTGCACCCCACCGTTTGAAAACCACTGGACTAATATCTGAGCGAGGTAACGTTTGACCATTGATACTGGTTTATGACGAGAGTTACTGAAACTATATAGAATTATGATGGTGTATTATGTGCCAAAATGACTAACTTAGGACTTGATGTAGTTCAAAACAAAACCATCACGCAAATGTCCGTTTCTCAGCATTATCTAATCATGCTCTATTAAAGCTGAGTATCAATTTGTGATAAATTCCTATTCGTTCTACATTTCAGCTCATTAGTGTTGCAATAGAAATTCATGATTACAGACAGAGGAAATCTCGAGAAAAAAGCAAAGATGACACTCCGTCATCTCGATTTCAACTTTCATTACAGGAGGAACCAAATACTTATGATATTATTTGTTATTCTTATTGTTACGTAGGACTCTTTACTGGTGAGTTCTACTAATGAATTTCTGTATTGTGGTTATTAACCTAGGTTGTGAAGCAGATATAAGGTTTTTTAAATGTACCTTATACCAAAAATTAATTACGATATAGGAATAGGAATGTGCCTTTTACTGTTAGTGTGTAATATTTAACATAAACCAAACTGCACTGTTAAAGTGGAAAAGTTTACCCAGAAAAAATGTGACCAGTGCATAATTATCTTGATTACTTAAATGTCTGGCTGATTTAATACCTCAACTGTGTCTAGTCTTGTGGAGGAAACAAAATTAAATGTTATTTCTTAACTTAATTTGCCTCTGATGCTTCTGTCTATATGAAGTATAAAAGTTGAAAACATTTTGTTGGCTTTGCACAGTTATATCAAAATAATAGTCCCATGATAAAAAGGTATCTCACCAAGATATTCTAATTGGTTGAACATTATTTCCCCATTTCTAAGCTGCTAAGTGATATTGTCACAAGCAGTATCATCTGCGTTTGTTCTACTGCAAAGTTTAAACTTTAGCTCTGATGCAGGCAGATTACTGGGTAATTCAAAGGGAGAGCAGCCAACTTTGATAGGATATATTAGAATGGTTTTATTTTTCTACTTTTAGGACCATTTTATAAATTTCGCACTTATCAAGATTTCTTGGACCAAACGGTACACCAGTCTCAAGTAATTCCATGGAAAGAAGAAATTTTGATTCGGTTCAAGCAGATCAGCTTTTATGCTGTGATGTATTTTATTGCTACAGTTCTTTTTAGCGTGGACCATGTCAGATCTGATGCATTTTATGAATCCTCTTTCCTGTACAGGTAAATTGTTTGAGTCGTCATCCATGTTACACGAATGTGAGATTCGGAAGTCCTAAATAAAACGAGCATGCTTGTTTGTTATATCTTCTCTTGAGAGTTTTGCATTCACAAATATACTGTATTAGTTGCATAGTCAGACAAAGTTTATTTGGGAAATTTCAGTCAAGTATTGCCTACTGATTAATTTTGCAATCATAAATTATAGTCTGCAATCTGCAGCCATTACTTCAAGCCAAATTGTTTTAACAGGATGTGCTGTAAAGATTATTAAATGATTCATGATGATTTATGATTACTGTAATTTTGAAAAAATGGGTTGCAGACACCGGCCCTCAGAGTTGTTCATTACTGCAAAATTTCCCACATAGGTATATTCATGCGTAGAGTGAGCACTAGAAGCACACTTGCCATCGCACCTTTCATTAGCCTGTGTGTAGGTTTAAATCCTAATGGGAATGGTTTGTGAGGTAGGATTCCTTGACTCCTCATTGTCGTAAGATGGTTATGACTTATTCCATCATCAAGTTCATGCCTCTAAAACAAATAACTATTCCCATACCTGAGATGGACTGGTGACCAGAGGAGAGACTGTGGCTCGCCATATGATAAGTTATCTTATCTGCCCCACTCTTCCTATCCTATTTTACTGGAATATCTTATAAATTGAAAGAAAATCACCCTAAATTCTTCTTATTTTTCAACTTTTTTTCATCATTGTAGGCATATACGGTTTTCAGAGTCTTATTTTTATACAGTTTGTTAACAATGTAACAATTAATGTTTAGACTGGTTTACATGGTTCCAATCTTCTTCCTGGGAAGAATGAGGTTTTATTCAGCATGGCTTCTTGCAGAATGTTCCTTTATAACAGCTGCGTTTGGTGCGTATCCAAAGTCAAGTAATCCTAAACCAGGACATGGTCCAACTGTGGAGTATGATAGGTGAGAGTTGAATATGTTTGGCAGATGAAGAAATCTTATCATTTCTAAGTGTGTTGCTTTCTGCACTTGAAATGATATAATGTAAATTTGCAAACATAGTCTCATACTCCACCTGCTATGATGGATTATTTTGAACAGGTTGTGTGGAAAATAGAGTATATTATTTAATTTTGTTTACAACTTTGTACCCAAAAGTTTCAGAAATCTAGGACGTTTTACATAAAAGGTATGTATTATGTTCCAAATGCCATATCCTCCGCATCAAAGACAGACTTGCTTTCGATTCGCAAAATTGTCAATCAGTCACAGACACTCTTCTATGGGAATTTCTCTTGTTATTGCTGTTCAAGGGGTTCAAGTCATAAATGAGATGCCCACAAACAGAATAAGATGATTTTTTTTCATTATCGTAAAAATAGTTTAGGAATTTGTAGATTCTGTTTTTTCCCCCATATTTTGTTAGTTATCAAATTTCCGCCACACCAAAAGTGTGTGTACTAATATGGAGGTAACTGATTTTGTTTGCCTACTTCACATCAAGTTGTGTTAAGAGCTATGGGCAGAGAGTATATTCACTTGGCTAACACAGACAGTCCCCGAACTCGTAATATAACTAAAATAAGGAAAATCAGCATAAAATTATGGCCTAACCCTAACCTGGTACACACATTACAGGAGTACCAAATTTTCTACAGTGATAAAAACCCAACATTACTATTATTCGTATTCTGCATGTTTCTATATAATTTCGATATGTCAATTATTACAATATGTTTTCAGCACTGAAGAGTCTGAGAGTATTGAATATAGCTTTGAGACAATACGGAACATAAATCCAGAGGGAAGTGAGTGGAGCAAAACTGTTCGGGATGGTATGAGAAACTGGAATATGACAGTTCAATGGTGGCTTGCCAATTATGTGGGGAAAAGGTGGCCAGCACATCTCAAACAATTTAGGTATCTTATACAAGGTTTCTTTTTTTCTATGGTATAATCGTATATTTCAACAAGATGTACCTCTTAGCAATGAAATAAATAATCCTGAAAATGGTTAATCTAATCTGTCTTCACAATTTTTGTTGCATCAGTGTAATGAGCCCTGTAAAGATTACTATTTAGATCTGACATGGGTAAACTACAATTGGGCCAAATCCGTCATGTTGGGTACTTCAATCTGGCCCGCCTGATGCTGTCACGACAACCAAACTAAAACCAAATTTTGATGTTTTAACTAAAAAAGGAATTTGTTGGAATTCCGATGAAATTTAGTTTCGTTATGAGACTTATCGCTTTCCACTTTTCTGTACACACTGTAAATATTGTTCATAAAATGTAACTTTATACTTGACGCTTACATGGCCCGTCACTGTAGGGCTGTCCAAAATCGAATAATTTTTTGATTCGAATCGAATATTTTTCGCCGAATCGAACCGAATAATCGAATATTATTGCGCAATAGTGAATCTGTCTCTATTATACAATAAACGCCTGCCCTTCGATGTTGTGGTAGCGTATGTGCAGTTACATCAAAGGAGATCACACGCTTGTATGAACTGGTCAAAAAAATTGGAGAACTCCAAAATTTGGGTCTCGAAGACTGTTGAGTGTTAAGAGTAAAAATTGCACTATTCAAAAATTGCAATCTCAATTTTGATGGATTCAGTTTTAATAGGACATATAAAATAAAGCCTGTAGATGCTATTTTAATCCTATTCACTAGTCTTTATGTATTTTTGTGTAAATTTCAGCAAAATAATAACAACCATCAATATAGATAAAACTGTTGCTCAAGTTCAAAATTGTATTTAAAAATTCCAAGCTAGTTTGATGACAATATTATTTGATGACTATAATATTGTTAGTGTACAACAGCCATCAAAATGCAAGAGTGCAATTATTTGTCTTGGTATATAGATGGATAATAGAGTAATGCCATCATAAGAAATTACAAATTCCATTTAAAGACGGTATTGCCATCATAGGGATCCCAAAACACCTGTTTCAGCTTTAAGTTGCCTGTACCATGTTCCTATAATAACTAACTCAACAGCTTCAAATCGATTCTATTTATAGAACTATCGTTTTCTAAATTGTCTCCTTTTTCTCCTTGTTCTCTCTCAAAAACGTCACGATCGACTATACCTTGTTATGATGACCACGCATGAAATGGCTAATCACGTGCCACCGGGCGGGCATTAGTAATGACATGTTTATCACAAAATGAAGGCGAGAGAAATATCGGGAAACCAATTAAGCAAGCCGGGAGCGAGAGTGGTCTGAGCTCGGAGCGCCGCCGCTTGCCCGATGAAAAACATCCCGTGAAGGTGGTTTCCGCTTTATGTACCGGTACCTAATTTTAGCGATTCGAAAATTAGCCGAAAAACGATTCGAATAATTTGCGATTCGATTCGATTTCGAATATTTGGTTCGCTTGGACAGCCCTACCCGTCAGTCTAGGTGAGCAAAATTTTTGGCCCCCTGGTCGTTAAATCTTGCTAAGGACCGGTATCCTCCCAGTTCATAATTGCATGCTAAATTTGTCAGACTTGCGGTGGTGATAGATGGGTGCATGAACCTACATGTCAATCAATCAATCAATCAATCAATTTTATTCGGTCACTCTGATATAAACAAAACACAAAACAACAACAAAGGGACAAACAAAATACAGAGGACCTGGAGGACGGGCATAACTTAATAAAAAAGTTAAATACGTACAAGTACGTGCCCGTCCCCCAAAAACAGAATAAAACAAAAACACGATGTAACATCGGGCAACAACTTATAAATTCAAATTAAAATGTGAGACGTGTATGTGCTTTTCCTAGACAGATATATGGATTAAAACACTCGCTGACGAAAAATGGTGATGTTGTGGGCCTACTTCAATTATATTGCAAAACTAACACAGTGACAAATTTTTTTTTACTAAAAAACAAGCTTGTAAATGGATTGGATGTTCCATAGCAGTCTATGCACAAATCATGGATTGGGGTGTTAGGTTCTTTTGTCGTTTTCGGTTGGTTCACTTCAAAATCATTGTATCCGTTCCAATGTTTCCAACATTAATATCGAATTTCCACGCACGACCACCATTCAGCCATTCCAACAGGTGCAGTGATCCCATCTTTTCTACGCTCTGTTCCATCATACACGACTAGATTCATAAAAAGATCGAAACCTCGCAATATACCCGTAACAAATCGTCCACCATTCAACTTTATATCCAATCTTTTATCCATAAACTTCTTTAATTCTAGTGGATGGGCTTTGCTCATGTTGATATTGCGCGATACAGATTACAGATACCGAAACATACAACGCGTAGCATTCACTAGTCTTTTCAAGCTGACACGTCCGCACCCGACGACGGTCGGAACGGAGTGGCCAATGTGATGCCAATATAATTAGATACAATGCTCTGATCAAGCCAATGTGTTCAATGCTAAAGTGTAGTGTATTACGGATGTGAAAAATTAAACATTGTTTAATAATTTTCTGCTTTAGGACAGCTGCTGTGCTAGGTTGCAGTGCGTATTGGCATGGTATTGCCCCTGGATATTTCGGTGCTTTCCTTACAATGCCTTTTGTCATGTTTGCTGAAGACTTGTTAAGTAAATTGGTCCGGCAGAAATTAAATGAAGGAAATCAATTACAATATGATTGGTAAGTTGATATTTATTTTGCACAATTTCAATTGTCGAAGAACTTGAAAAAAAATCAGGAATATTTTTTTCTATTTTTTTTCAGGTTGAATTGGTTTTTTAAAATGAGAAGTTTTGAGTATATGTACATGGCGTTTGCTTTGTTAACATGGGAAGACACTTACAGGTAAATCTATCTTATTTTAGTGAGCTCTTGATACAATTTTGCTGCAGGAAAATGTAATATTAAAACAGCAATAACCACTTTATAACGTTTATAAAATGAGGTCTATGCTATGCAAAGATAATTTTGCAGAATCTTGAAAGAGATTGCTAGCTATGGTTGACATCAATTTTAACCGTATAAGCACAGTTTATTTCAAATATATATGGATAATTAATGAAGGTTAATGCAATGTGTTCTCATAGTGGAATTAGTTACATAGTCAAATTCTGATTCCCACGTTTTTCGAAGTATTGAATCATGGATCAATGGCTAGAGCTAGACTCCAGTAATATGGCACTTGTGCTTCTAATTAATTGTGATTATGTCATGTATGTGAAAATTTTTTTTTTTACAGATGGTGGAAGTCTGTTTATTTCATTGGTCACGTTGTTTGCCTATTAGTTATTTTATCATGCACTGTAGTACAATTGTTACTGTCAAAGCCTAAAAAGGTTAAAAAAGAAGAGTAGGAAAGTTTAGTCAATTTCGTAAAGTGTGGGTCTAGTAGAAAATCTTTACTTTGTTTGTGGAGATGACTACAGAATCTTCACATGGCAGTTATCTGATTGAACTTTGAGCATGAGCCCAATTCAGGTCGTTGATGCAGCACATCACTATATCAATCACAGTATCCTTAACTAAATACAATTGGCAGCTTGCCAATGGTCTGTCTCGTTCAGAAAACGAACATAAATATTATTCATCATTCTAACACATACCGGGTATTGGTGGCATATTTTGTATTTATACTTATTGATTGTTTCATGTAAATGTTTGTTTTTCACCTATTGACCGCTGATGTGAATATATTTAATACTTATACCACGAGGTGCGCTACCTAACAGTAAGTTCTGGAATCTTTCATGAAAGAATGGTTCCTTAATCTTCAGTCCTGTCCAGTGATGAACGGCGGTGGTTTCTGTTTTGTAATTGCTGTTTTCTTTTTCTCCTTTATTACTCTCGGTGGATCAAAAATAAATTTAATATGCAGGAAAGACAAAATCGGCTTGTGGTACTGTCTGCTGGAATAATCACAAATAATAATCATTTAGCGAGTAGGGCCGTCAACATTTCCCGGGTTATATAAGTATAAGTTTATTTCGACTCCATAATCAGCAATCGGATAGGAATAGGATTTACATATTTATCCCGGGGGAGAGGAAAGCCGATAAGACGGCTTATCCATATGGCGAACCACGGCCTCTCGTCCGGTTACCATTCCAAGTCGGGTATGGGATTAGTTTTACTGTATTGTTTGTTTTCGGAAGCATGGACTTGGTGGTGGAGGAAGCCGTAACCGACCAGCGGTTACGTGAACCACCCAACGACGGCGAGGAGTCCAGCAATCCTCTCGCACATAACCATCCCTGCATGGGATTCGACCTGCGAACCCACGCAGAGTAATTAGAGGTGCGGTGGCGAGCGTATTCCTAACGCTTAGCCCGTTGAGCCACACCGCCGCGCCATAGACGATAATAATAATAGATAAAAGTAACTGATTATAGAATCGGGAGAGCGAACAAAACCTCTAGTAAGGTTTGAAACGTACAGATTTTATATGGAAAGGTATTGATAAAGGAAGTAGTACGTGTTCGCTCACCCAAAAGTAAAAAAAAAACTAATTAAGGCACGCACACACACACAATCATCGAGACATGATACTGTCGGAAGTGAAAAAAGCGAGACTTAATTAAGATCAATTAAATTACTCATTAAAAAGGAAAATATACAAACAAAGGGAAAAAAAATGAATAAATTCTTTTGCCACACCAAATTAATAATTTTATGCGGATTGCTAAATTGGATACCGAATTAGTCAACAAGAGTAATGTACTGTGGATAGAAAAAGTATTCCTCAAAAGATATCGTCAAGCTGATTATAATTGGAGTCACCTAATGCCGAATTGCCAAGTTGGATGTATGAAGATGTGGGCTAGACCTGCTTCACTCATCAACAAGTCAAATAACGTCCACATTATTTTAAATACTATTAATCAATAACAGTACCGGTAATCATAATTAAAATTAATTAGGGCGGTATGATACAGAGGTAGGTAAATTCTAAATTGGTTAAGGGAATATATATGGCGTTAAAGGTTCAAGTAAGGTTTCTAAGGTCATGGATTATAGGCAAGTAAATTTAATTGGGGTTGCTGATCACTGGGGTCAGTTCAAATTCATCACGGATGATTCATCAGTCTGCAAGTTTTGTTGATGTATACACCTTTCATGTTGACAAAGCTAGCATTTAAATTGATAATCATGACGTCCTGAAAAACGAAAAATATATCTGCGAGTACAATATTCAAATTCAGTATACAATTCTATTCAATTAAAGAGTCCAGCTGCACACTAACACAAATGTATTACAATGATTGCAAATAAGGAATCAATAGATAACTACCCTACACTTTTGAGTGAAAGTTGTTGAATTGTGTGAATATTGATTAATATTAATTAAATATCATTAGACTGCTAGTTGAAAGACCTGAGAAAGAGGAACCAAATTCTCCCTAGTCAGCATTTTTGCGCGTTCTCAATAGTGCGCCAGGACCATCAAACAGATTGCAAGATGTTCGGCAGCGTCATGAATAGGAGGCTTCTGTTTGTTTCATATCAGAGCAGACCAAAACCGACCGTGCATTGTAAAAACGGTTTGCGATGGCAAGGAGCCGGGAAATATTGCGGCATATGCTGGTCGTCAAATAAGATAAGAAGAGAGGCAGACGTCAGTTGTTTGATGGATTTTGAAAATTTTAAGTGATTCCGAAACCGAAAGATGTGCCTAATATATGTTGCATTGAATAAAATTTTGTTATCGTGATATGTTTGAAATAATTACAGTAGTCGTCTCAAGGTCAACATGGGTGTAGAAATGACTCAAAAGTAATAAACCACTTACGCAGAAGATAGACTTGATACCGGCACACAGCGAGGAGGGTTTCGCTACCCCGTATTTGCGGACTCTTGTACTAAACAAGTAATTGGTCAAACCTGAATAAATAATTCAGTCCATAAGCAGTCAACCTGTTTATGCCAACGGGATCAATTGTTAGTCAAGCTGCTGTTGATTTTAAGAATATAAAAGCTTGTCAATCACACAGCGTGTAAGCTGCAATTCTTATAGTTTTTGTATTTTGCAAAAGCATTTGATTGATCTCTAATTCGTAAATTGGCCAACAGAAAAATACCTAAAATATTTTTGTCGCTGATTGTGCATATGTGTCGTAGTTTGTCTACGAATTTAAGATGGGATGACTGTAAATCAGATTTTTTATAATTCCCCTTCTGCCTCATAAACTGGTTTACGTGTTCAAAATCATCATGATCATTAAAAAAAATTTACTACTCTGCCCTTACATGTACTGACAGTTAATTTTAGCCTAGGCTTTTTCGGTACTAATTTTTGATCATTGCAACTAAACTAAAGCCCCTCAGAAGATATAATGACAACTAAGTTATTTGATGCGCAACTTAACTGTGGAAACACGACTGAAAAATGAGAAATAACGTGAAAACCGCGAAAACGAAGCAATGTTGAGCGAAAAATGTGTCTAAAAGGCTGCATTTTTTTTGTTTGCGTTTCAATTGTTACGCCATTGTTGATTCATTGCTGATTGGTCGTTATTACGGAAATAAACTAGGGAAGCGATGCTCGGAAAAACATCCATACATATACTATGTTAATATACATATTTGCATGTTCTCGCGTGGCGGTGCTATGAAGCAAATATTATTTGAGGTTACGCTCTGGGGTCAAGGGTCGGCGAAACATCCATAACATGTGCACGTTGAGCGAGTGGAGCGGTATGTTTTCGTAACGAAATGGTAGGAGTTTGAAAAGACATGGATATTGAGGACAATACAGACCCTAAGTGAGTATGATCTGCAATCATATCGTTAAAAGAAATAAAATACGTCTCTCTTTCATTATGAATCCATGACAACAAAATGCAACAGCCCGCAAGTCAGAAAGTTTAATACATTCGAGTATTTTTTGTTTGTTTATTTCTGGCACAAGCCTCGTTAAACTAGCTTTTTTTTGTCATTTCTTTGTGTTGGTGAATGGTGGTATTTAACATGTTCTAAACCTTATTAAAGCGTTTGCTCGCTCCCCAGAATCAGCTCTTGCTCGCTCTCCGGAATCTAAGAATTCTCCAATTTTAATTTTGTTGTTGTATTACTGCACTGTATTACAGTATTATGGTGTTTTAAAATGAACTATCTATCTATGACATACAATTTTCATGTTTTCAGAAAGGATGATGGGACTGTTCTCGCATGTATATGTGATGAAAATGGAGAAAAATTGGGAACACCCTTTGATATCCCACTTTCAGTAACATCAGATCAGCTGCAGCTTTTATGCAATTCACTTTTGCAAAATGTAAGTTCCGAAGTTGAATCTTTTACAATAACCTTTGCAGTTCGATGTTTGTCCTTTAGTCTTTGTTAAGTTCTTATTTCCATAAAGCTGTTAAGAAAATATTCATATTGCAATATTGAAAAGTAATATAGTAAAATCCTAGTGAAATTATTGATATTTGCTTTAAGTAGCCTATTTCACTTATAAAGACCATTTGGTGAGTAAGGTTTTCAGATTTTTGATCTTCGATACTTAATTTAGACTGAATCATGCTGATATTCCTATATTCGTAAATTCAAAAGTTTGATACAAACTTTAAAATGATCTTGCAATTTTTGCTTTTTCACAGACAGAGCCAAAACCGTATGCTTTTTTTGTAAATGACAATGAAATAGTAAAAGATCTTGGATCTGTGATAAAAGAAGGAAATATCTCGACTGAAAAAACTATTTCAATTGTTTATCAACCTCAAGCTGTATTCAAGGTAACTACACATGATTTGCATAAGATAAATTGTAGTAAAAAAAGTAGAAGCAAAAAGTGACCTTCTCAATATTTCTGGATATTTGGTTTTGTTCACAATCAATATGTGGCAAAAATCTTGAAAACACTTAGCACTTTTAAAATGAATTATTCAGTAAGTTTTTTGATTTTCAACTATTTGTAACTTGATTTTATTATACATAATTATTTATCAAGTATTGTTGTTGCTTGTTATTTTTGTATAGGTAATTGCTGTGACAAGATGTACTTCATCTATAGAAGGACATACCGAAGCTGTTCTTTCAGCATTCTTTAGTCCAAGTGGAAGGTATGTTGATAATGTTAGGTAAAATTTTTTTTTAACATACTTGTTTTGTTATATACGTTTGTCTCTTTTATATTGATGCAACCACCAGTTTTGGATGCTATCTGCTACCCTATTTAGTTTTAATCTGGAAAAACCTTTATTTCTTCTTAAAATCATATATACTTATAGTTGTAATAGTATAGCCCTATTTCATTTTGTATTTAATTTAATATTAGTTGGACATCTTAATTTTTGTATGAAGGCATCTAGCCAGTGGTTCTGGTGATACCCGAGTTAGATTCTGGGATTTGAATACAGAAACACCTCAATTTACATGCGAAGGACACAAACACTGGGTTCTATTTATCGCGTGGTCACCAGATGGAAAGAAACTTGCATCAGCTTGTAAAAATGGACAGGTATGTTCAAGGGATTCATATCATTGGGAAAATTTTTTTATAAAAACAAATTAAAAGACATAGGTACTAAATTTCTGTGTAAAATTTAATGAAACCAAAGACGCCCAATATCTCGAGGAGATATATTATTAATCCAACACCAAACTATGGCAAAATAAACGTCTTCCAAAATCAGTATCAAAAGTTTTATACAACTTCCAAATTCCAACATACTGAACATTTTTCACATTTTTAAGAATAATTAAAATCGCATTCGCTCAATTAAGGGTGGAAAGAATTCTGACAAATAATTGAAATCAACATTGCTGCTGGAAATTTTTGGTTTTCTTTTCTTTGCCATTTTGTTGGACAGCCTTATTGTAAATATGTATATCATCATTTTTTGTGTTCACTTTTTAATTAAAAAATAAGAAAAGCATCTGAAGATTTTTTCAACTGGTTTATTGCTTTAGGTTTTAACTATTTTATTTTAGTTTTTCTACTTTTCCACTTTTCTTTTTGAATTCTGACACATTAAATTGACATGTTTGTAAGAATGTTAATTTGACTCAAAATGCGGAGACAGGATACATATATCTGACACCCTCTTCTTTTTGTTATTTTAATTTATCATTTTGAAAAGTTGATATTTAAAATCGACTCTTACAGATTTGTGTATGGGATCCTTTCACTGGAAAGCAAGTTGGCAAAAAATTAGTCGGGCACAAGCAATGGATTACATGGCTTGCATGGCAACCTCTTCATTTAAATGGTGAATGCAGACATCTGGCAAGTGCTTCAAAGGTGACATAAGCTGTTGTTGAATTATGATGGTTGTTCTATCTGTATTTGATTTGACTGTTTATGCTCTTTGGGAATTAGAGACTTATCAAAGATATAAGGATTAATATACAATGATATAAATCTAATTTTGACTTCAAGTTTGTGGTAAATCATCATTACACTGCGATATGGTAAAATTACTATGGAAGAACAGTAATTTTGAATAACTGAATTTCAGAAAGCTTCTTCTCCAATAATCATCTTTTCAAATTATGTTTACTTTGTTTGTACCAATTTATTGTATCATTTAACAAAAGGATGGCTCAGTTCGAATCTGGGATGTAAAGACAGGTCAATGCATCCGTTCTTTGACAAGTCATTTACAATCTGTTACTTGTGTGAAATGGTCTGGGGAAGACTTATTATACACCTCATCACAAGATCGAACAATTAAAGTTTGGAGAAGCAAAGATGTAAGATTGAAAATCAAAATTTTTTTTTTTTACAAAGTCATTGGAAATACTTAATTGTTTAATATTTTTTCAGGGTGTCTTATGTAGAACTTTAGAGGGCCATGGGCATTGGGTGAATACTATGACATTAAATACGGATTATGTAATGAGAACCGGCGCGTTTGAGCCTGCAGATTTTGGATTGAAACAGAATATGTTGAATTACCCACCTACTACTTTGCAGAAAAGAGCAAACGAGAGATATCAAAATGTAACGGTATGGCATTTTCAACTGTATGCATAATTTCTATGGGATGTCACAAGCTTATACACATGATAAGGCTATGCTTAAATGAGTGCACATACTTCTGGAGCGCCCTTAAATGTGGTAATAAACTAATAATAAGAAATGAATTGGTTTATATATTTCAATAGATGTATCAGTGGTGACACATTTATGAATAGCCTATATACACAACTTTCGATATAAATACCACAATAAACAAATAACGCTAATTATCATTACTGCATATTATCATACACAACTGGATGGGAATTACACTTATTTGCAGTGCTGTGCTGACGATTTGGGCTATTGATATAGGTTGTGAGAAATTTCTTTATTTCAACAGAATAGCCTTCAAGAGCGAATGGTTTCTGGTTCAGATGATTTTACACTATGTATGTGGAAGCCAGCTGAAGAAAAAAAGTGTCTGACGAGAATGACTGGACATCAGGTCAGTTTAATCAAGGGTGATTTAGCTTCGAAAAATTGTGATAGTGTGATAATATCCTCCCGAACGTGTTATAATTTGTCTATTAAGTTTTTTTAATCTTCATCTTTTCACCTATTTAGGCTGTGGTTAACGATGTTAGATTCTCTCCTGATGGGCGCATCATTGCTTCTGCATCTTTTGACAAATCAATAAAAATTTGGGATGGTAAAGTTGGAAAGTATGTTTACTTTTATATTGGCCTATAAAGTGTAATTGAAGGTTGAGTAACAACAAATAAGTAACAAAAGCATTTTTTTTTCTGATTTCAGGTATTTGGCTTCTCTGAGGGGTCATGTTGGACCCGTTTATCAGATTTCTTGGTCAGCGGATAGCAGACTTCTGGTCAGTGGTAGTGGTGACAGTACGTTGAAGGTAAATATACAGCAAGACCCTCAATATTATGCTTTTTGACAATCATCACTTTTTTGTCTCAAAATATGTTTCTATTTACAGGTGTGGGATGTTCATAAACGCTCACTGTTGCTTGATCTTCCTGGCCATGCAGATGAGGTTTACACTGTGGATTGGAGTCCTGATGGGCAAAGAGTCGTCAGTGGAGGAAAAGATAGAATACTAAAAATGTAGGTGCAACTATATGTTTTACTGCTGCGCTAACTCTGGTTCAGTACTATAAAAAAATCCTCTTGCAAATAATTATTCTCACAAGGGATTCGAACTTGCCAACCCACGCGTGGTAATCAGAGGTGCAATGACCATAATACTCCAAAGGCTTAGTATCGATGTATATATACAATGTATCACACTGCTGACCGATTGTTCAGGCTTCAAGTCTAACAGCTGGTTATGTCAACTACTTGTGGTAAAATTAAACTTGGTTTCGGTGCAATTGGTGGTTGTAACCTTTCAGAACTAATCTTGTTTATTCATTTCTAAGATCAGGTTAGGGACTGAAAAAAAATTATTTTTTATCACAATGGCTAAAGTACATACATGCTCCTGAGGATCAATAATTTCCTTTCGACCGTTTTTTAATATAACTTGTTAAGAAACTGTTTGAAGTGTGCATCTTCATAAACCCTGTGTAATTGAGATGCTGTTCTGTAGTTGTCGCTATATTTTTCGCAAAACTTCCATACATCACATAACCTTGTTCTATCAAAATGATTTCAGCTGGAGAAAGTGAAGTGTCTTTTACAACAGACAAATAGGTTAAGAAAAGCGGATGAAGGATTCTGAATATCGAAGGCCGGTTAGTCGAGCCGCTGCTTATGCTGGGGGAATATCATTGAAACTATGTTTGAAGATTTGCTCCATTCAAACCTACTGGGCAACATACTACATGTAGTTGAAATAATTTTTTAGTACAGTAAACTATTACTGCACCATTTTATGTGATTTACCAAAAAAATATTGGAGATATATAACAATAACAGTCAGTCTCTTGTAGGATGTTTGGTGTTGTAATGGGAGGGTTTCAAGGTCAAAGGGTGAATGTTGAAATTTCGGGAAAAAGGGGATTTGAAAATATTAGAAAAGTATGTGCCCTTTAAGCAACCCAATTTCAAGACTAGAAACTGATTTTACTTTTCTCTCTTACAAGAAACCTCCCAGCTTAATTCGCGAGGTGTTTTCACTTTGTTGAGTATGAATAAATTAAACCTAATGGGAATCTACCAAAAAAATGACATAAATACTACTACAATGATTGTTGTAAGCTGCTGGGAGGGGGCACGAGTCATGGAAGGTTGGGATCCACTGTTATAGATATTCACCAAGTATTTAAACCAGAATATCGGTCAGAGACCAAAGACTTATCGATCGAAAGTTAGGGGATCCCCAAAACAGAGCTCTTACTTCATAGTGACACCTTGTGTCCCATCACTAATTAATAACTCGCTAATTATACGACATAAATCATCCAAAATCAATACGCTTCTGGTTCGACATATAATGAATGTGCGTGCAAAATCTTGAGCAGATTCACAATCGCGTGCATCTAACAGACAAATACCTATCAACATACTTACCATTTAAAATCGATAAGAAATAAAAAATGTACGAGATTTCAAGAATAAATACTTTTCAAGTTTTGCCCATTGTGTTAAAGCGCTCGGATTGAAATTACATTCTACACTGTGTTTAGTTGCAGTGAATCGAGCGGGCAGACTTCATGTATGTTTATTCCTCTCGTAAAAGCAATATAAAAGAGTAAGTAATTATAAATACTGAAGACGGGATGTATGCACAAGACCATATTGGCCTAAAACACAGATGTGCGGTATACACCCCTTTTGATATATATAAATTATAATAGGGTAAATCAAATATGTACAATATGGTCCTTTATACCGGCAGTTGTGCAAGGAGGGTGGGTGGGTGTGGTAACAGGGATAAGGGTGGAGTGTACAAAACTGCTTGTACAGAGGAGTTTGTTAGACAAAACAACATCTATAAATAGAGACACAACATAAAACACACTGCATATGGATATAGTAATAAAAAAAATTAAGAATTTGGATGAATGTACAACACCATTGAGTGATGATACCACATACTATAAAAAGCGGGAATGGTCAAGTTTAAAGGGTGTGTACATATATGGTATGCACCACTCAAGGGCGATAGTGTTATAAGTCAGTGGTTCCCAAACTTTTTTGACAATCGCCCTCCTATAGTAGTTTATACAACTTCATCGCCCCCCCGGCAATACAAAAAAATGTAAAGTCAGAAACGAATATATTACAGACCAAATAAGAAGACAAATCATATTTTATAGTGTTTTTTAATGAAATAGATGAGATTGGTGTTCTTTAGCTTCTTTTTTATTGTGTCCAAAATTATCCCGTTTACTGGTGGAAAGGCTATTTTGTTGTTTTGATAGCAATAGTAGCACGGCTGAAAACCCCTTTGTCACCATATAATAGGTCGGAAATGAAAGAATCCAGGGTTCTACCTCCTCAAACACCGCCGTGTACTCTTGCCTTATAGTATTTCACTTGCTAAATTCACTCTATTTCACATTAAAATAATAAAAAGGTTAATTTTCCCAAACTTATAATAATGATTTTTGTACATCTCATTTATTCGTACAGCATGATGACATGCACCAAAATACTTTGTGGTAAAATTCATCCCCGATTTCTCATCCTACCGCGGCCTCCAGTCCGATCACCAGTCCATAATTAATCAGCCATTTGTTTTTAGATTCATGGACTCGGATGTGGAAGAAGCCGTGATCGACTATCGGCTACGGCCCAGGGGACGGCAAATTTTATGTCGCTCGCGGGACAAAATTCAGGGTTGCCATTTTTTTGCGGGTCGCATAAATATTTCGAAATTAAAAACGGAACAGTGCGCGAAAACTGCGACAATTCGTGAACTCAACTCAGTCGTCTTATTGAAAAATTTTATAATGGCATTTAATGTGGCACTGTCTTGTTGCTGCATCACGCTGGATAGCTTTACGACGCCAAGATTGGAATATTTTCTAAATGGGAATCACTAATCCCAGTTCTTTGCTTTAGGATATAATAAAATTTAGTCCAAACGTGTCTCACGATAAATTCTGTTACGTAAAAAAATGTAATTTACTCCTCGAGCGTAGATTATAAATAAAAAAAATTCATCGTCAAAACCTCCGTTTGAATGTTTACCCGGACATAGACTTCCTTGTTTACTTCGTAACATTGGCCAATCAGCAAGATGCAAAAACCGTGACAATGCCCCCTTTCACATCCGCTCAGACACGCTCACTCAGACAGATTCTCAGGCGTGGTCGTGAACATTACCTCAGTTTCGCGATTTTGAATTATGTTCGTTAGTTTTTAGTTGTTTTTCAGAAATTTAAATATAAATCAAATAAATCAATGATTACTTTGTCTTCTTATGAGTTTCAGTTAAATTACAGGAATCAAAAATTAGTGTAGAAATAGCTGTGATAGACTAGGCTCAAATTCTTTATCGGTACTTTTAAAAAACAGATTGTTGAATGGTGTGTATTAGAATGATAGTTTGAAACAAATACCCCATTTTACAGGCAACAACTCGCGAAACCACACTTAAAATAAACACCGAAAATTTCAAAATGGTAAAGTATGGGAAGAATTTTCCGCGATCAAAGGTCGGGGACGGTCCATTCAGTGAATCGTCCCGGGCCAGATTATTTTACTCAAGCCGTATTTTGCCGACCACTGGGATACGCAACTACCGTACCTTACTGCGAAGACGAGTCCAGAAATCCTTTCGCGTGTGATAATCGCCCACGTGATTCAAGCCTGCGAATGCACACAGATTACAGAATTAGGTGCGCCGAACATAAAACAGGTTTCGCGAAATCGCCCCCCTCTGTATCGTTTTCGCCCACTGGCGGGCGATATCGCCCACTTTGGGAATCACTGTTATAAGTGGTCTATGGCTGTTCTGGTCAAAATGTGACCCTACAGGTTTTGGTGAAATATGATAAAGTTATTTATCAAATTACTCACTATTGTAAGTTTTTTTTTTTTCGAAATTCTGGATTCAGCCAAAAACGATAAGTTTCAAAAAAATAAATAAAAAGCATTTCCACAAAACCTATTATGGTTGCATTTCAGCCAAAAGATTAGGAAGGTATAAAGGTACAGTGGGATAGGGAATGATAAGTTATTAAGAGAAGCCATTTTACCATGTCATGAATTTTCCAATGTAAATTAAAATAATAAGTCCTGGGATGAGCAGAAGAAAAAGTGTGATTCGGTGATAGGTAGCAACAATGGAAATAAATTGAACAGCATGCTACTCAAACAAAAACCATTGTCCCTACTCCCTACTATTTGTGCATTGAAGTTCTATTGTATTGTACTATTTATAACCTAAATTGCTGTGCTTTTGTTGTTGTCTAATTACGCATGATGATGAAATTAGAATGGTGTTCTAGTTATTAATTCAGTCCATTGTTCTATATTGAATCCGGGTAAAGTATGCTGTGGAGTTATTGAAATTGTCAGCTGGTCTATGATGACTGAAGAGGAGGACAGTTTCCTGATAGTTCATTCAATCCAAATAATCAACAGTTCTCCCTTTCAGTGTTGAATTCACCTTAAAAATATAATCTCCAAACAGTAACATATTCAAAGCATAGAAAATTGCCAATATGATTATAATATATATTGTTTAAGTTTGGACAAAATTCTGAGTTCGATTTTGAATTTTTGATGTCATCGGGTAGGGAATTCCAAGTTTTTGGTCCACATACTGCGATTGATTCTTGTGAAATACTTTTACTGACAAATGGAATAAAAAAATTTATCTTTACTTCTGCTGTTTGAATTTGGGTTTGCTTGGAACAGGCTGGACGGAAGCTCTCCAATGTGACAAGAGAACATCATAGTACATAGTTCGAATTTAGCTAAATCCAGAACTCGTAGTAGCCTATGCTCTTTAAATAAGCCATTCTTATTTTAGGATTTGTCCTCGTGTTTGATTAATTGAGAACTGCATCTCAGAAACAGTCGAGCAAACAAGCACATGCATCTGAAACGAGTAACTGACTAACTAATCCCATGTGATTGGGCCGTCTTATCGGCTTCCTTTTCCCGGCATAAATATGTAAATCCTAACAAAAGGGTCCACGCTTTTAATCAAGATATATTTACAGATTGCGTTCCGTTAAAATGATCTATGCAGATATGAAACTTCGATATTCGACAGTTCAGGTGTTATCAAGCTCGCCAATGGTATTGTTTTGTTTTTAGCATTAGTCACCGGTATTTTTAATATTTTTCCTTATGCCAAGACCCGCAAAGTGAAAGGGCCCTGCTTTCAATTCAATATTTTTCACCAGTTGACTTGGACACATGCGAGTTTCAACCTTATAGAACAAAATGCATAGGTAATCTTATATACTATATTAGAAGGAGCGATATTTTAATAGTTTCAATCATTGATCTTGTGATTGTTCGTGCATTTTTTGAACACGTTCGTCGTTATTATTGACTCTCAAATTTGAATAGAAAATTCTATATTTCAAGGGCCTTAATCGATGGTTTTGTAAATGTTCGTGCATCTCTTATTTACAGTCTTTTCCGGCAAATCGATTATCTTTGAAGCTTACCTTATTTTTTGTAATCTAGATTGTTCATGCAACCTGACGCGTCTTGTTTGGGTACCGATGTTGTATGTCTGTTTTGGCTCACTATGTGCTCTGTGTGGACAATGACATTAAACATTAATGTCATTGGTGTGGAGGAGCCTATATTAATGTTATTCAACCGGGTATACCCAAGTGTATACCGGATCATTGGAAGGGTATACAACTGAGTTGTTACATTGTTACATCACAAGTTATATAGATAATGCAGGCACGTGTTTGGGTTGATGATTTCGGCTGCCATGCACGTCGCTTGGTTTACGTTGAACATTATTCCCGTTGAGTCTAGGGCTATCAGTCAAATTTAGAC